CATCTCTGCCAATCAAACCCTGATCAACACCAGACTTGCTGGTATATCTTCACTCAGAAATGGCCTACCATGAGAAAGAACACACCTGGACTCTGGACCATTGAATGGGTGTCCAATTGAGATCGCCAAGTAGTGCAGGGTAGTCCAGCCAGGACACCCAGACAGGATGTTCCTGGCATGAAATGCTGCAACAAAGAACCTCCAAAGAATTTTGTTGCCACCTATCGTGGTGCTTTTCGGCCAGTGGCCCGCCACAACCACGCAACCCCCGGGTGGACCACCACAACGACGCTGTGTCACACTGAACCCCAGGGCCTAGGGCCTAGAACCCAAACATAGCCCCTGTTTTGGGTGGTTTTTGCGTGGTTGGTGATCCGAAGAGGTCACTCAGGTTCGAACTAGGTTTGTTGGAGTAACATGGTATAAATATAGAGATCTCCAATACAAATACTTGGTCTTCAAAGAAGAAGAAATGGAACGTGGGCATGACCTCCACTTGTTTATGGGCTTCCCCAAGATCCGCGACCTGGTCTCTTAGTGCAACATCCTTAGTAAAGCAATGGTTATTCAATTATTCAGTAAACACTTTAAATCGATGGTGGTTAGAAGACTACGGTATATAAACATCTAGTAAACATTAAAAACACCCATGAACCAAGACCGGTGAGTTTCCCTTTCAAGTGCTCAACTTGTCGACACGCGGAGAGCCCACCTCCAACCCGCCGAGGAAATCTTGTTTGGACCACTGTAAGATCTCCGGCCGCAGGATGAAGTCATCTCGGGGCCTGGTAGAAGTGGATTCTTCTTAAGTTCCAAGATTTAGGTGTTGAGACTTAGGAGAGCCCGCAAGCAGTGCTTTTCAGTCTGCATACTTTCCCTCTTGCCAGTAGGTGAAGAGAGCCCCCCCTTACTGGCTGGGATTGGGATGCTTTCTTATTACAGTAGATCTCCTGGTAAGGGAAACGAACACCCGTTGTGGTTATGAACGACAAGCGCAGTTCAAATGCCATGGCGCCACACTTGCAAGAGTACTCTAAAGTGCATAGTAAGGGCTCTGCTACAGTCAGGGCTTTGCAGCTTGCAGCCTACATTGCTGTGTACTGTTGACACAAGGCAGTAACACTGCACGATTGTCTGCATCGTTTGTTGTTGCACCTACTCAGCACACATAGACGTGTGTAGGTGGCGTGTTCCACGAACTTGCCAGAAATCAGCCTCTTTCTGCTGTCCCAGATGCGACCCTTGACCCGAACCAACTGCTACGCTGCTACGCTGCTTGGGTTCGGTCCATTTCAGGCGCATGTACCCCGGTTGGGTCCGAACTCTGAGCCTTTAGGGTAGAGGGATCCTTAACTTATTCCAAGAGCTTCCAAGATCAATGTCCGGACCATCGATTTCGAATCGATCGTCAACCGATGGATGGTCAAGGATTGCCATCTCTTCTCCTCGTAAAGCAACTGTAGAAGAACCACGTTTAGCAGGGACTTGGAGGTCACAGGATTATCTTTTGAACAGCAACAGCAATAACACCTGTAAGCTTGTTCATTGAAGCTAGTTACACAGAGAGAGAGAGAGAGAGACACCCCCCCCCCCCCCCACCACACACACCACACGCACACACTTGGTCTGGGTGTTGATTCGTGTCTCCAAAAACAGCAACCCAAACTGCTTTGACCAGTCGGGGGCGAAGACGGCTGAAGATGGGCAAACAACAAGGCCAACTGAGGCGATGCACCGGCCATCAACAGCACCGAACAGCACCGGCCATATGTGAGGACAAGGCCGCTTCTTTAAGCACCTAATTCGCCTCCCTATCCACCCGGACTCAGGGCCCCCAGCCTGGCGAAGGCCCGTTCAGAGCCGCTCTGGACGGGCATCATCAAACGCAAAGCCACCATCAAGCCTTCTACATGGTGATGGTTGCCTTGCCGAGGGGTCGAGCGACAAAAACCATGCATATATGGCAGTCCCATGCAGTGTCTGGGATCTGTTTGTAGTTAGAATAAAGGGTTCCTCCAAGGGACCATGCTATCCACTTCCATGATTAAACTCAAGGAGTGTGGAAAACATTTTCAAAGTTGGATGTTGGGATGTTTTGAAGTGATGTTGGTTCCAAATTGGAGGGGAGATCCTGATTCTATAGGACTGTTTTGCTGATGGTTTGGATATGTTTGGATCCTTCTTTTGCCTGAGACCCTTTGGTTTGTCGTGTTCACGGAAAATGGGTGGCCTGAGAGAATACGTGTCCATCGATGTGCTTGACACATCTTGAAACTACTTTTGGCATTCCAAGAGTGTCAGAGGGTCAAATTGTCCTCCCCAACTGCAATCCGAATGTTTCGTACGATGCACCATTCAAGTGTAAATGTATGGCGCAAGGTGCAGTGGTTTGTTCCGGGATCATGGCTCCTATTCCAGTCAAACTCGTCGGGTCTGAGATGAACTAGCCCTTTCGCTCCGGAAATCAAACCCAGAAAGGGTTATGGGCACATCAATAATCATGGTCAATGATGTGGATTATGATGTCTGGGTCTTCCAGCACGGTGCAGTATGGTGCAGTTTGCGCAAAACCAGGTCAATGGACATCATTGGACATCGGAATCCCTTTGGTGAGTCGTCACGAAAGAGTCACCGCGCCTTGAGCGACGCTTTCGGCCAAGGTGTCGCAGGTGGAGCGACAAACGGTCACGTTGAAGTCACTGCCTTTGAAGCGCCTGGAGAGTGTCAAAACCATTCGATGAAAGGAGCGCTAGGGTGGGTATAGATCTATATAATATGTCTATATATAGGATGTATGATGATGTATATAGGTAGGTAGTTGATAGATTGTTGGTAGGATTTCATTACTATTGAATCCAAAATTGCTTTAGAACTTTAGATATCTTTAACCGGATGGACTTCTGCAACAGGCCCCTGATCGAATTTCCCTTCCGAAGCTGGCCGAGACCAATCAGATGAGCTCAAATTTCTATCCAAAGGCAGTAGCACTGCCCCAGACCCTGAGACACCTCAAAATTGGGCCCTGCCCTGGTAGCCAAAGAAACTTAACTAAACTCTTGATTGATAACCCACCTCCCATTTTGATTGAACAGCCTCTTCATATGTGGGGTTTATTAATCAAGAGTCTACAAAACATTCTACATTACATTGTCTTTAGTGATTAATAACGTAAAACAGAGTAAAAAAGAAAAAACGACACGCTTTAAAAACGCGCACTCCTAGGAAGGTCCACTTGATTCAAGGCTGCGCTGTTCAAGGCCGTGCTTGGCCTCAGGCTTACCCAGCGAAACGTCCGATACTTCCGATGGTTCGTCGTCTGATTTTGTATCACCCCAAAGAGCAAAGGACGCTACGAACGGGGCTCTTGCCATCGCTAACGAACGGAACAAGGTTCGCTACGAACGGGGCTCCTGACCTTACTACTAGGAGCAAGGACCGAGGGCTGTTTGGAGCTTCAGGGTATCTCAAAAGGGTTTGACCGATGGTTCTCATGATGAGATCTGGTCCTCGTGGTGCATGAGATCTCATGTTTCTTCTTTTGTAAGATGACGGATCTCACTAATTCTCCCCCGAATCCACACCTTCGAAAAACCGATCAGGGTCCGTGCCAGTGTACCTTTGGAGTTTGTTCACACAGGGCGATTTCCACAAGCACATAGCTTTCTAAGAAGCCAGGTCACTCAACAAGCACCTACTGACCCAAGACACCGAAGACAAATCCCAAGACATGTTGCTTTTCCAGGTTCATCTATTCTGGTCAACGGTCAGGTTTGCATGGAGGTGCCAACTTCATGAAACAACATTGACCAACAAGCTCCTTGAGCCTCCTTCTTATCCATGTTCACTCAAGGAACAACCTACAGCAATGCAACAACAGCAAGGAACAGCGTGAAAAAAACACATGAGAAACATGAGGTCAGTGTGTTAACAAGCAACATCAGTATCTTTTTTTTTAAATCTAATCTCATCTCATCTCTTCCCTCGTTGGCCGAATTCGTTTCACTGCTAACAAGCCACACGGCGAGCGTCGTCGCCTCATACGCCGTGCAGCGCCGCGTGCGCATCGCCGCCCGCAGCCGCGCGGCTCCGCAGCGCAGGGAGCGCATCGCGGAGGGCACAGAGGTCCAAAGTCTGACTCAAAAGCTGATTCTCTTACCCTTTATTGGACATTATTAGTAGCTATTGTATGAGAGGTCCTTCAGCGAGGTCTTTTGACCTGTAGGGAGAGGATCCCTACAGATTATACGGTGTTCCTTAAGTGTTCCTTTCAGATTTGTGTTTTGCTTGCGTGTTTCTTATTTGCGAATCACTCACACCAGCAGTCCAGGGGAGTTCCCGGTGGAGTAGCTGCGTATCCTGGTGCTTTTAGGGGTTCGCCATTGCCCAAACCTCGCCACCTTCCATGCTCCCCCCGAACGAGTCGTTGGAGCAGCGGAGCCCGGACGTTGGACGTTCGGGATGCCGGTTTCGGTGTGGTTCTGCTCAACGAGTCTCTTTTGCCGCTATATAGACAGCCCATAGGCACAGTGCAAACATCGCGACATCGGCCGAAAGGCCCCACGGAACCAGTTCGTCCGGCGCGGGTTTGGGCGGCACGTTGTTCTGAGAAAGACAGCAAACTCAACGGTCAAACGGTCCAAGTTGGGCAGTCGAAGCTGAAGATCTAGAAGTCCCGTAGATCAAAACACATATCAACATCCGTAGATCTGGGGGTCCCAGCTGCTTTTGAGACAACACATCGATACTCCAAGCGAGTACCACCCCTGCAACAGCTGCAGTGGAGCGGGCGATGTTGCTGTCCTCCGGATCCTTGTTCAATGTCGACACCCGGTGCTCTTGCAGGGAGCCACGACGGCTCTAAGGAGCTATCAATGGAACCCCCTTTGGGTGTCCTGGTATATGTCGTGCTCCCAGGTCCATCTCTTGACTTCGTCATCGAACACCAAGTTCCGCATCCCGCATCCAGCATCCCGTCGCATGGCGCCCCTCTGTGTCGGTGCCTTGGGCGGCGTGGGCCCTTTGCACCTGCAGGAGCTTCCACCTCAGACCCGGCGTCACAGCTCCCTCCGTCGTCACGCCCCACAGCTCGACCGATGCCCAGCCCCAAATGCCTCGACCCAATGCCTCGGCCGGAGGTTCCAAGGAACCGGGCGACGCGAGCAGGCGACGCGAGCAGCGAGCATGCGACGTTGTGAGTGGATCCGAAGCTTCAGCTGGTCAACCCCCCTCGACGGGGGTGGTCGAACTGACAGCAGAATGGCGATCGTGATCGGACGTGATGAGGGGGGCTTCCAACCTCCCCGCCGAGTCCGTTCTGTTCGAAGCGACCCCGTTTGCCTTTGGCTTTCCTCAAGAGGTCCATGACGGTGACATCTGCAACTGGGGGCTGCTGCTTCGGTCTAAGATGTGGAGGAAGACTCTCAGCAAAGCCTGGCCATCTGCCACCGGGTGGAAGACCGCACAAGCGGACTCCCTTGAATCAAAGGGTTGCGAAACATGGAGATCCATAAGTAGTGCATGGCAGTCTATCAGAGACCCCTTGGAAGGTGGTGACATTTCCACCCAAAGTAGCTTTTCATCCAAAAGTCGTTTTCATAGCCCTCGCGGATGCTGATCCAAGATCAGGATGTCACCCAACGAAGCGTGGGGAAAATCTGCCAAGCAGCAACATGTTACAACCAGCAGTCACCAAGGGGTGCGATCCATGGAGGAAGTCGGGGTGTCCCTGTCACATCCACAGCCCCTGGATGGGACGAGCCACACCACCCCGAGCTCTGTGACTCCTGGAAGATGTTACAAGTGATGTGACGTACCAGGACCACCCTGTTCCAGGCTTTCCATTGATAGGCTCCTTAGAGGTGAAGGCAAGGTGTCCCCTGCCATGTCTACCACCGTGGGTGGTATGTGGCTTGCCGGACACCGTATGTGGTTGCAGGTCTTATGATACCTTTTGGGCTTCTGGAAAACTGGGGCCCCGAAAACACCAGCGAACCTCCAAGCGAAGCTGCGCGACCCCCGATCCACCACGCTGCGGGACCGCAGAAGCTGCCTGTGTGGAAGGCTTGTCGAGCATCTTCACCTTCCGGGAAGTCCTTAACCGGCGCGAATCTGACTGGTTTCAGGGAGAAGGGGAACCATGGTTTTCATAAAACTATGGGTTTCCTGTCCATGCAATGATTGTAATGTTCACGAATTGTCCAGCAATTCTGAGAGAACATCGAAGCTAGGCAAGCAATTCGGTGTCTCCGAACTGCGAATCGACATCGGAATCAGCCAGCTGCCCATGCGGTTTTCTGTTGGACCATTCAACGAGGTCCGTTGACCTGGTTTTGAAGGGTCAAATGACTCGAGACACGACCTGTCTGGGACTGCTGGTTGAAGTCGGGAATGTAGAGAAGTAGTCCGCTGGAGTCTCCAGGACACCCAAAACCAGATGTTCCAGCTGTAGATACCTTCGAAATCACATCGACCATCACGATCTCGCCAACACATGTTCCAGCGAACACTTCGCCAAAGGTTTATGGCTTTTGTATATTCCAGCAGTCACAAGACGGGGTGCCGAACTTGGAGGAAGTCGGGGTGCCCAGAACATCCACTCACTGGATGGGACTAAACTAAACACCATCCCGAGCTCTGTGACTCCTGGTGATGATCTATATAGTAGTATCAGGTACGTCACAGACACTCACTTTCTTCACACTATAGTAGGATCTATAGTAGTATCTGGACTCCCTTTCTTCACACTCACTCTACTATAGTAGTATCACGTCCGTCCAGATACATCACAGTTGGGCCCCTCATGAACACCACGACCCTCCGCGACAGACAGGCGACCATCGACCCTTTGGAAGCGACAGACAGGCGTCTGTTTGCATGGGCAAAAGAGGTCGTCTGCTTGAGATTGGTCACGGGAAATCGTGCAACTTCTCTCCCAAAGCACTCTGTATAACCATGTTTGCTCCACATTGGGGTGGTTGACTTCAGGTCAATGTTGGCATATTATTCCACATGCCAAACGTGTTTGGGTCGAAATCTGCAGGCAGCTGGTGCCTGCCAATCCCAATCAGAAATAGTTCTGGATGGCACTCCCGAGTCCCAATACCACTTGGTATGTGAAGGATTTAAAGACAACCACAATAAACATTGGAATAACCATTTCTTTCTGGTTGGGACATGTTGCGACTGGTTTTTCAGGTAGAGGAACATCTTCCCCAAAAATCGTGCGACTACTCGCACTGTGTGTTGGATGCTTTTGGCACCGAACCGACGACCTGTCGTCAAGGAACGGCTCCATCCAACAGCTCTGCAAGCTTCTCAAGGACCGGCTGTGCCTACAAACCGACACCGAAAGGAAAAGGACTCGACTGGTGTTCGACTGGATTTGCTGAAGAACCGGGATGCTAAACGCATCGCCAGAAGGGACATTCACCCATATAAGAACACGAAAATTACCCAAGTGCCAGGAGTTTCAAAGGGGTGCGATCCATGGAGGTTAGGGGTGCTCATTACCCACTCACTTAGCGACTAAACACCACCCCTTTGTGACCCCTGGTGATGAGTGCTTGGTAGGGAATTCATTTTAGGAACCGCCTTCATGGAGGGCCGTCCCTCTGATCCGCCCCCAATCTTCCTCGGCCGTCGGCCGTCCAACCTAGGAACCTGGGACCCAAACAGTGGCGACCGTCCAATGCACCCAACCTGCAACATCCCAGACCCTGGCTGTAAAGCTCTCCAGCTCTGAGAGCAGGATCTCCAGCACCCCAAAAAAGGATGCCCCATGAGTGTGTGGTTTTCCTGCAAACATTTGGATGTGGTTCAAGCGTGGAGGTCTAGAGTTGTGCGACTCAGAGTCTTCTGGAATGCAAAAAATGCTCAGTCAGCGCGTTTTTGCGCGGGTCGCGCTCCCCCGCCGCATGAGCCGAGTAACTGCATGTCGACCATATGACGACATCTCCTAGTTCTGCGATATTTGGATGCATTTGTGTGATGTTGAAATGCAAAACGCCGGGTTGTGACATGCAAAAAGAGCCCAACACAGTGAAACACATGCTTTCCCATGTGCCACTTGAACAAATTAGGTTGGTGGCAACGCTGCTAAAACAGCGTAAAGACCGTTGTTCTTGAAGAGGTGTCTGCCGAACACACCATAAAGACCGACATTTTCAGCTGCTCTAGGCAAAACAAATGCTTCAAAACCAAGCTATTTGCGCAGTTTTGTGCGCATCTGCAGCAGCAAACAATGTAAATACTGATGGTTTTAGACTATCAAGTGCTCAACACCGCAGTACTTACGAGGTTTTTGATCGTTGTGCTAAACAACACGGTATGTACAGTGTTTTGCACACACGGACCTTCAAAGCATTGTTTTCAGAATTGCAACACCTTTTTTCGAATCAACCCTTCAAACAAACACTGTAATTTACAGTGTTTGGCGCCTTGGCACATGCCGAGCCCAACACCGCCCTCATTTTTGGCCCAAAGGCCGGCCCAAATTCTGCTCCCGGAACCATGGAACCATGATTTCTATTGATTTCTTGTCGAAGTTCACTGCGTTTTTAGCACGTTTTTCCACTATCCTTTCTGGCGAAAAAACGCATACCCCACCCAACTCAAGGATTTTGATGCGCTCCTCCTTTTGCCGCTTTTTGAATCGCGCAAGATGCAAAAACGGCTCGAAATGCAATTTTTTAGGTCAAATGCAAAAACCACTGTAAAAATCAAGGTCGGTGGCGGGGATGCTCCCGGGGTAGCAAGCTAGACTTGTTACGCAACCGCATGGCATCGCCGGATAGGGAGACATAGGGAGTCCTTCCAGGCAACGACCTTCTGGAAGATTGAATGTAGACCAGTCTACCCAGCCAGGGGCGATTGGGGGACTTCAAGTATGCACTCCGACCACTCCGACACATACATGGAAGTGGAACACCGCTTGTAAAGGAAAGTAATCTTCCAAGGAGTTCCAAGGGACCATCGTCCATACCGTCCGACTTCTCACCGAGCCACCTGACTTACTTACCCAGCGCCCGATTCGGGGGCGCCCAGGTGGTCTGCCCCATGCTCAAGCACATCTGAGGGAGAATCATGGTCCAAAAACAATGCTGTTGTTCAAGGGATTCAAGGGAAACTCCTGCGCCCCTCCAAGAGTGAAACACACAATTCCTAGGGGGCATCGTGCCTGGAATCAATTGTAGATGTTCACATTGTGTTTTGGAGGCTTATCTTCCAGCTCGCTGGGAACATAGGTTGTCATTGATCTCAACTACACTATGGAGTGTCTCATCCCAAAAAAAACACATCACGCGGGGGCTTTGGTGGGTATAAGCCAAGTCACTAAGTCTTAGTGTATCCGGTCAATCTGGATGATTTGTGTTTCTTTGAGAGTGGGCACTTTTCCCAACTGCCACTCCTCAAGAACCTCTCTTGAAACAAAAGGTCGGGAAACAACTCAAGATGTGGTTCAAAAAAACTAGTAACAGGTGCCACACACAAACCCTCAGCACAGTTTGCGGAGAGGTTGGCAAAATCGTGCATACAAACAGATACAACTCAAAATGTCTTCAAAGATACTACCCAAAACAAAGGACCAAAATCAAACAGTTCACCCCAAGGAACGACCCTTTCAAACTCAAGAGAAACAATTGGAATTTTTGGATGTCATTTTTTGGAGTATGGATCATGATCAAGCATGGTCAAGCTAACAAACCAATTTATTACAAACAACGCTATATATAAAACATATTCATGTATGCTTTGACTTCTCTGACTCTGAGAGGTTTTAAGAGTGGCAGCTGGACATCCCAAGTCTAGCAACCAGACCGCCCAATACATCGCTCCCGCAACCCCCCAATGGATCGCCCGCTCACAGCGTCGTGTGGCGCCTCCTCGCATTGTCGGAGGGTTGGAAGAGTGGCACGGAAGCGCTTGTAGGCCTGGGGAGTCGTCGAGAAAAGCCGGAGTCGTCAGCTACGCTCTGGAAGAGACTCACATGGAACCTGAAAGCCATGTCGGGCTGCAAAGGAAAGCCGTCTTCCAAAGCGTTCTAGCTGGGTCCACTTTCATCTTCCATGTGGGTCTCTTCCCGGGCTTAGAACGAAGCTCGTGCAGCGGTCATGACCATGAAAACGAAGCTGAGTGGTTTTGCGCGTGCTCGATTGGGGATCCCTTCCAGTCGCAGTGACACGCGCAAAGCGCATGACACGGTTTTTTTCGCAGTCACTCAAAGAAGGTCTGCTTGTGCATGTCATTCCAGAAGCAGCAGCTGAGGCAAGGTATACTGATACTGCTTATAGGCTCAATGGAAAGGAGCAGACAAAGCCCAGAACCGCAATCATCTCCCACATTACTGATGGCCCTTCAGTGAACCGCACTGAGTTTCTGATCGACGAGAACTTTGCCAAAAGACAGAACTTTTCCCCCCGGCAACCCATGATATCTTGAGCGCTTGCAGTATCATTCAAAGATGTGACGTCCAAACATGAAAACACAATGCAAAAGCATAATTCACAGTATGTTAAGCTGGACATGCATCAATAACTCATCCATCTTTGCGTTTCTGGAAAATAGCTATCTGGCAATGGATTCCACAAGGAATGTGGGATATTCCCGAACAACCACTGCCAAGCAGCAATCAACTTTTCTTGGGGGTTCAAATCTTTGCGCATACCCCTTCTCGCCTGATCGAGGCCTTGGCACACCATGGTATGTTCAGAGTAGATGGCACAACCCCAAGGGTTACCCTATGTGGACCTAGCCTAATAACAACTCTTGTGCAAGTTTGGCATCAGCAGTTTTTCAAAGCTTGCCTCAACTTGCCTCCCATCCTCCAGCAACACAACTGATTGAACGCCGCAAGATCTCTGCACATTCCACTCTCAAGTATTCAGATTCCATACCTGCCTCCCCCCCAAAAAACACAGAACAGCACAGGCGGCTGACACTCGCTGGTGCAAGGAAGAAAGGATTCCCCTTGGACTGAGCCGAGCATCACAGTGAGGACGTGAAATGACGCCTCGCAATAATTGTTGGACCCTGTTTCGCAAACAATACGAGAAGGCTCTACAATACGATAGCAGCGACCCTTCTTCGATGAACTCTTGGCGTGATGGAAAATCCGCCTTGATTACCGTCGTTTGAAACAACCTTCCATCTCTTCTTGTTTGAGCAGGCCCGTTTGTGTGTGTGTGCATGTGTAACCTTGGAGTCACAGGGATCCTTTTGGATTGTGTATTCAGCAGGGGGCAATTCCTCACATTTCAGACATTCAGACAGCCTATAAAAAATTGCTCCGCGCTCAAGGCCTACCACCATCCCTCGAACAGCACACCGAACCTTTTCTACAACAACAATGGCGCCTCCACACAACCCATCTCAAACAGCACCCCCACTTTACAGCACAGCTCATCCGCCAACTGCAGGAATATTTAGGCGACAAAGTCGTCTTGCGTCATGCGGATCACGAGCTTCAGCAGCTCCGAGTTTTCTGCCCCCAACAATACTTTCATGGTGCACTTGCCACATGGCAAGCACCAGAACTCTTTCAACCTCTTCCACATCTCACCCTTCACAATATTCGCGACCACCTCGCAGCCACGGTCCCCTCCAGTCTCAGAGCTCGATACAAATGGGGCTTCCGAAAGGAGTTCAACATCCCCTACGGGATAGTCCATCTCAAAGCCAAAAAGCATTGGCAAAAAGGTCGCACCGTCATCTCCTATTTCCAGTCCGTCGCAGGCAACCTTCTCCGCATCACAAGCAGAGCACTCGATATCATCCTGCAGCATCTTCTTCCGCAACACCCAGGCCAACTCTCTATCCCACAACTCTGGCGCCAATTTCATGCCTACCTCTCACAGGCTCCCCCCGACATCAACCTCCATGCCACAAACGATGACCTCGTGGGCTTCTTCAACTCCGTCCCCCAACATCGCCTGATCCAAGCGGTCCACAGTTTTATTCAGCATTGGCAGACCCAACACACCACACATACCCTTACAATTGACACCAAAGCCACAGGCAATCCCTACCATCACTCGCACATCGGCCGCCACCATTCCAAGCACCCAACCCAACGCACGCTTCACCGACATCATCACTATTGTGACGTTTGCACTCAACACCTGCATTTTCTGGGCTTGCAACCACACTTACCAACAGATTCGTGGCGCTGGGATTGGCTCCCAGCTGTCACCAGCCCTCTGCAATGTTGCCATCACCCTGATTGAACACTCATGGCAGCAGCTACAGAACAACCTCCTACATCACACCAGCCTCCATTTCACATACTACCGCTATGTGGACAACCGTTTCATCGTCCACAACGAACACTTTCTTTCACACCCAGCCATCCAAACCCTTATTCACCACAATTTCTTTGGTGATCCAGTCGAGCTTGAAACCGTGGATGACTTTCACCTTCTGGGATTCAACATCGACCTCCACCAACGCACAATCAGCTACATCCAACCCACTCAACCTTGGAAGATCAGAGATGCTACCAGCGCGGGGAGCAAAAGGCTCACGCTCTCCCTCGGTTCCTAAGAGTTCGTACCTTTCATTTCTTGTGCAGGGGGTGGCAGCAGGAACGAGAGTCTGCCACCAACGAAGACACTCTCGATTTCCTGGTGATACTGGGACTGATCATCCCAGTGTACCAGCCTTGATTGCAAGCTGTGACACGAATTTTCCTCTGGTTTGAAAAACGTTTTCATGGTCCTTGCATGATATACCCCAAAACCATTTTCCCACCGCCGACTTGCAGCCGACTTGCAGCCGCGCTGAGGATCAGATCGTCTCTGAGTGCACTTGCAAACAATGTTGAACATTTCATTTCCGCGGACTTTGCCACCTTTCCATTCCCTCATGCCTGTCCTCGGGGAATTGATGTAACTGCAAGCCCATTGTCTAAGTGTGTGTGTAGCCCTTGGAGTCACAGGGATCCTTTTGGATTGTCTATTCAGCAGGGGGCAATCCCACCTTGCAGCTGATTGCCCAACGAAGAGGGCTGCAAGTGTGGCTGATATCCGGGAGGGACGCCTTCTGGACGTACCTGCATGGTTGTGGTGTTGACAAGCTTTTACTCCAATCTTCCGAGAATGTGCTGCAGATGTGCACGAACGCCGTCACTTCGCCTTGTTCGTCGTCTCGTGGAGTTGATGTTTGGCCTTTAACTACAGGCTCTCAGGCCCCTCTCTTGACTTTTCAGGATTCTGGTACCCTAGGTTGCCGTGTGGTGAGCGGCATTCGAGTCAGTACGCATGTCAATATGTGTGTTTCTGGTTTTGTGTTGGTTCTCCATTAGGGAAAATGCGAAGCACACAGCTGCGCGAAGCGTCAAACAGTGGAGAACACTATGATGGCTGTTCGGCAGAAAAGCCTCCCTCCTCAAAACATGTCGATTTGGCTGCGCCCTCAGAATCCACACTGGCTGACCATGGGGGTCGGACCTTCTCCATGGAAACGCAGGGCTCCGGACCCGGTTCCCCAACCCTTTCCATTCGTTCGGGCCAACAAACACCCGTCCGTTCGCAGAACCAATCCGAGTGAGCCACTCCGAAGTGAGAGTCAATCATCAACCACTACAAACCGTCTGTCTCATTTTCGCGCTGAAATCGGCCAATAACATCCAGGTTCAGAACTCACTCAAAACCTTTGGAACCAACTAACAACCCCGTACGTGGCCTTCTTTCTTGAGGTCCGGTCCTGCAGATCCTCCGTCAGACCTTCGACTGTCATGGTTTCAACATGGTTTCCCGTGACGACATGGTTTCCCGTCCAGTGAGGGCAGATCTTCAGACACTTTCCCAAAGGTTCAGAGTTCCAACCCGTTCGCGGTCGTTACCCTCGCCACGAACGGGTGACATGGACCGAAGCGTAAGCAGTTTGCCTTCGCGGGCCGAGCGGACTCGGTCACGCCGAACGATCCACCGCTCCACGGTGACCGCGAGTTCCGGTGACCGGCGAAACCCGCGCCGTGTCAAATCCACCCGCGCACCTCTTCACTGAGGCGACATCGAGCGGTGTTCAGCCACGCTTTTAAGCGTTGGGCCTCCGAACCGCCCCGCGAACGCCGAAACACGTCAAAAGCATCAGCGACATGCGGCCCGTTCCATAGTCCGAGCCGCGACAAAGACCTCTGACCCCGGGGGATTTTGAGTTGTCGAAGCCGGGAAAAGGATGGAAGTTACATTTTATTACATGTACATCATCTTCTCCTGGGTTTGGGGATTTTTATTCATGAAAACCAGAAACACAAAGGATGTTTTGGAGGATGTCCCAGTGGTGTTTCTTCCTTTTCTTGGGTGGATTGATGAAAACTGGACGGATCAAATCACTGAAGGACGAACCCTCCGAAAAGAGCACCGGCTGGGTATCAGAAATGTTCGACCAGGTAAACTGGCCGTCCCTGCTCGTTCGTGGTGAACATCTGCCCGTTCGCCGAAACAGTGAAGATCATGAAGACAGAATGGGAACCACCTGGTTTCGTCGTGCTGTTCTTAGTAAAACAGCTTGGTGGTTCATGTGGTTTGGAAAAAGAACACACACCAAAAGAACACATACCATGACTTGCGGACTCATTCACCGCCGGATTGGCAGTAAATATACCATGGACCATGGGAGTCAAAGGCTAAATTATTCTAAAACTATTAACCAACTATTAACCGCTGGTATAGGTGACCTGAGTCTGGGTATTTCCTTACAATTTTGGTGGTCACACAAATTGTCGAACTGGACTTCTGGGATAAATGCAACTTGCTGGGCGAATGGACTCAAACGGCTCGGCTGGTTTCATGGGTCATGCGAACGGCTCAAGACTCGCCCCTGCCTTGGACTCGCGGCACTCGGCTTCACTCACCATATGGGCTGCAGCGCTGACTCGTGCGGGTTGGAGCGAAGTGGTTAAAAGAACAACAACAAACACTCCATATGTATGTTATAGCAATATTTACCTGCATCGAGGTGGCTTCAGGGGTCCCCCAAGTTTGACCGGGACAATTCAGACTTTCTTCCGTTAGAGAATTCAGGCGATTCGAGAAAGGACATCCATGGCCCGGAGAGATTGAGATGTATGCATCATATGCATTTTTTCAACCAACCTGGCGAAGGAGTGGCAAGGTCAGGTCAAGCAGTGCATTTCGTTTATGACCGAACGGAAGCATCAGGGACGTTAGCTGGATGTCATGTTCACGACGAAGCGCTATGGGTGACTCACAGGGGAGTTTCGGAATCCACATTTATATATATATATATACGGGCCCCTGGTATACAATGGTTTCAGAGGTTCGATGGCACAGACCAAAACCAATGTCCTAGCTAGAGGTTCGATGGGGCTCCATCATTGCCATCCACTCTCAATTCCAGTTTGGGCTGCTGAACCGGTGTGGCCCCATCCATCGATTTAATCTCGTTCTTACAGTACAAAACCAATCAAAGCCAGGTCCACCATGGTCCATCATTCCTTTGAAGGCTGGGACACCAAGGTTTTCGCATGAAGTTCTATCAACATTCAGATCTGCAACGATATTTCCTCCCCATTTTGCCGCGTCGATCTCGGAGAAGGGTCCTCTTATAGACGTACTTCATTTACATGAAAGAACGAGTATGGAAGGTGTGTTTGTTTTGATAGAGAGACCCCCGAGATCTCGCCGAACGGAAAAAGACCCCGAATCGGCTGGCTATAGACCGGTCGATGTCCCGAGCTGAACTGGAAAGGCGAAGGTTTTTCACTGGGAGATTCCCTCCAATCTAGTAGCTTCTTGCTATCCCAGTGGGTCAACGCACCAGTTTAACCCGTCCTTTGGACTTGCTGGGTATACTAGCATAGTAATGACCTCCAACCATATATACCTCTTCATTTCATCCGAGTTCGAAGCCGTGGAACATGACCCGGCGGTTCCGGGAGGAAGTGGGAAACGACACCGGGCGGAACGCGGCGGAATCCTTTTTTGTGTTCAGCATCCAAACGTCTTCCAATGACTTTTGTTTTTTATATAGTTAGTATACTCGATCCATATAGTCATCCGATGAAATAGGAAATATGAGGCAAACACAAGGAAGCAGCGAGTCCAACATGTTTGTAGGTTGTAGCAAATGCTGGTATCAGGCCAATTTGTTTCAGGCCAGCTGCCACCCGCCTTGGTTTCGGTTCGTGGATGTCCGCATCCGACGACTCGAGATGTGGCAAGTTGCATGAAACGCAGTTTTTTCATCTCAGCCATCTTCCCTGGATGCATGACTTCTGTCAGCTTCGCTGGCGCAAGGCACGCTAAACCAATGCAGGCTCTCTTGGAGATACACATCTGCATGTGTTGGCCAATGAGCCCCAAAGCAGGATGCATCAGTTGTGAGAGATTGATTGTGGGCATCTTTTCTTCTGCATGCAGCAAAACAAAATCTATCACATCAGAATCAGCTGATGCCCTGGTTTGAGAACTGGTGCCTAACTCAATTAAGTCCCAGACGGCCTACAATCGGGCCACACAAGTGGGTAAAGTCCTGCGCGTCCAGAATCCTCCCCACCAAGAAACCATGCATCCACACACCCACGACTCTTGGCATGCAGTGAATGTGGGGTTGCGCGTTTTGAGAGGATTGGGAGGCCTGTCAGCCTGTCTGTAAAAGTCATTATCATCCGCAAGTCGGTCAGAAATCCAAGAATCACATGGTGACTCCTGTTCAACCTGTTTGCCAGTGAATCAGGATGATAAGCAAGTCGGCACGACACACATGACACTTCCGTCTTCTCAATCTAAATCAACGCCTCCGCTGCGTGGTCATGAGATGCTGAAGGATCGGTACCGACTCACAGAGAAGGACTGCTTCCCTTGCAGGAAGAGCCTGGCAGAGCCCCGGGGAGTCCAGCAGTCCGACCAGTCGTTGTGTGGGTCCGAAAGGGTGATCTACGCTGCGAAGGGGTTCTACGCTGCGCCCAGACACGAGTACGAATCAAACGACTCACGTGTTCGACGACTCACGATCCCACCATCAGCATGAGCCAGGTCTCCTCGCGAGTCCCGAGTGCCGCAGCGGCAAGGGGTTTTCCATGTCCACCCTTCGCCGAAACAGTGAAGACCGAAAACATGGGCTTCCCGCCCTGGTTTGGTGGTCGAAACTCCCTTCGCCCAACAATGGTTCTTTAGGTCATTGACATGCTGGCAGACATGCCATTCTAAACCAAACACCATGCCGGTCACGACCGCTCCGGAGGACCGCTTTGGAGGACGGAGATGCACACTGCTTCAGGTGAAAACCGGTTTTCCTTGTTCTGTCAGTTCCGGGAAGTGAACCGGAGGACAGGTGGTGAGAACCCCGCAAAGGATTCCAGACCCAGTTAGCGTGAACCCCCACCAAGTTGAATGTATCATGATATGTCTTCTAAATGTGTGTCTGCCAGACCCCTTTATTCCAGAAGTTTACCATCTTGAAAAAAACAAAAAACCAATCACAAAATCAACCAGAAAAACAAAAACAATCACAAAAACAAAAAACAACCCCAAAATGCAACCAGAAAAAACAAAAAACAACCACAATTGCAAACAAAAATAGAACAACTCAGCCGGGCTTTCTGGCGCACTTTTTGGAAGGGTCCACGCCCTGGCGCGCTTTCTGGCGCACTTTTGAGGGAGGGTCCACTTTTTGGCGCACTTTTGGGGGAGGGTCCACTTTCTGGTGCACTTTTGGTCGTGTTTTTTTTCATGTTTATTTTTTACGGCGCCGGGTAAAAAGTCGCACTTTTGGTCATTCTTTTTGCAAAAAAACCGAAAACATGCGAAAAAACAACGACCCAACAGTGCGACTTTTTACCCGGCCCCGGAAAACATGTTAAAAAAGGGCGACCAAAAGTGCGACTTCTGACCCGGCGCCGGAAAAAAACGACCAAAAATGCGACACTTGACCCGGCACCAGAAAAAGACCTTGTCCAGTACTAACCCTACCCGGCCCCTCCAAACTACCCTCTGTGTGTTGCTTGTGTTTTCTTTGGTTACTTTTCTATTGTTTTTTTTTTTTTTGCTTTCTTGGTTGCTTTTTGTTTTGTTTGTGTTTTTTTGGTCGCACTTTTGGTTGTTTTTTTGCTTTCTTGGTTGCTCTTTGTTTTGCTAGTGTTTTTTTAATTCCAGTTTCTTGATTTCTAGAATAAAGCAACTTCTGGTGAACACAATTCTAAATGTTACTTTCAAACGCGGCTGCACGTCAAAACGGGTTTTGTCAAGACCCTCCACCTACTACAAGCAGGCAAACAATGGAGTTCTCATTCCCTTCACTCACTTCTTTGTTAATGACAACACTACGTGACACGTCTTCCCAGCTGTCCAAAGACCTTCCTCATCGCACCATCGCCAGGGCCACGTCCCGAACGACGCAGATTTTCTGCCCCGCCCTCGGAGTGCCAAGGCTGGATCTTCCAACTTCCAACTATGCAACATCGCCGAACTTGTCATGGTTTTACGGATGCAAAAGGCGACTTGGCATCGTTGGAAGTTGGAAGATCTAACATGATCTGGGTGTGTTTTGAATTCTCGGGAGACCTCCCAGGCCCACATTCATCCGGGACAACGTTAATGCGACCCAAAACACTATACCCAATATATAGAATTACTTCCACCCCTCGCCGTCAGCTCTCGCTAAGCGATCTACGGTGACCCCAGGACGGGACAATGTGACGGGCGACTGAACATCGACCGATGGAAAAGGGAGGTGATTTCTTAGGGTGCTCACGAAGCAATATGAAAAGACTGATTTAAGAAAAGATTGCACACTTGGAGTCATGCCAGGGGCCAGGGACAAATTTCTCAGGACCCCCGATTCGCTCACATCGCTTCACCCTCTTGGCGACGAAGGGCGGGGTCTGTTGAAGGCCAGCCTTCGCGATTTCGCTCTCATCGCAAGATCCACGGTGGTGCCAATGGCCATGAAAGCCACCCAAAACCACCCTGCATGATTGTAGGCCATACTGGCAGTCCCATGGAACATGTGGGCTAAGGCCATAGCCTGCACGAAAGGGTCAGGCCGCACGTGATGCAGGTTTTGTGGCGGCAAAGGGCAACCGGGCGGAACTCGGGGAGGGCTTTGGAGCTGCGAACATCTACTTCACGCCTGCGCAGCCGTCTCATCAGCCTGGATTTCTATCATGTGCCTACCAGAAACACATAGTTGGAAGCTACTAAAGGATTAAAGGCTTGCTTAAGATCCTGTACATAGGAAGTGGCTGGGGCTGGGAAGTTCCATCGTCTGGTTCTTGGGGTTTCCCAGGCAGTTCCTCTATCAGCACTTGGGCCCGTACCGTACCGGGACCCTGCGTCTGCACCGGATTGGGTACGGTACGACGGGTGACTACCAATCCCAACACGCACAGAGAGATGAGCCATCCCAAAGCATCAGGAACTGGACAAACAACCTAGCGCTTCCTGTCGGGGTGCCCTGGAGTAGGAGACCTGTGACTCCGTAGTATATGGAGATGTCCAGCCGGGTGACCCTAGCCCGGAAGCAGCTGGAATGGAGTAAGATGAAACATTTGCATGGATCTTCTCTTGCCCCTTGGCAAACCCATCGAACTGGGTGATCTCCCTATACGTTCGACACACCCATCTTCTTGGACACGAATCGTTCCGCGCTTTGCCTCCTGTAGTCTACAATGTCTACAGGAGGCCTTGGATCCAAGGCCAAAGACCATTCCAGTTGCGCCCTTGCATCCAAACAGTTCTTTGGTAATTACCCAAAGGCTCAGAGTTCGGACCCGACCCATTCGCCAGGGTTCAATGACATGTTTTGACCCTCACAACTGGGGTGACATGACCCTCACAACTGGGTAGCAGTTGGTTCGCCGGCCGAACGGGTCGCGTAGGCGGGTAGACCACATGCGAGTTCCATCTACTTCGGTGACATCGAAAATCCTAGCGCTCCCTGAAGCCATCCAGAGAGAGGACGGTCAGTAACCAGCACGAGGAAATCGAATCCGAATTCACTGCACGGAGATGGCACGAGGAAGTGCTACAGCGTTGGAAAAAAACTTAATTGGTTTTTAATAGCAGAGAAGTGGAAACTAGTGGAATATGATTTTGATATAGAAGCAAAAACATTCGGAAGCTGTTGAAAATATTCGAATATCATGGATTCCGGATGATCTCGGCATGTGGGGCACCCGAAATCGGAGACGCCATGGCCCTCACCACCTCCCTTCGCTTGTTGGGACCGAAGAACTACACAGGCCATGGTGGGCGACTGCGGCGTATGACTCGCTGCGGGTGTCGCCTTTCTTCGGCTCCAATGGCTCCAACAAGAAGTGACACACAAGGGTTCAGATCACTGGCAGGATCACCTCGCTGAAAGGCATGATCTATGCATGACATGGTTCCGTTGCACCGGGCCCGGCCTACGCCTCGAACCTCCATGTGTCAGGTCGTGCAGTGCTTTGGACTCAGTGACTACACCAGGAACTTTTGAACTGCCCTAAGGATCCGGGGCCACATATGGGGGTTTGAGGGCCTTCAAACCCCTGCCATGGAGGCTCCATTCTGTAACCTGGACACCGGAAACCAAACAAACCGCAGGAAACAACGATCGAAGGAAGACTGGTGACTTTATAGCTGCACCATGCTGGTGACTTTATAGTCCATTCATGGTCAGCCCGTCTCGTCAAAGTCATAACTTCTCCCCTGGGATTTCTGGCTCACCATTCATTTAATACCCTATAAGAATCCTTGGGCCCTCCATGGCACGGGCCCGGATTCTTAGGGTTGGCTGAATAGTGTTAATCGATTCTATATATCCTTGGGCGACCCGAGCAGATCGGATCCATCCAATTCCAGGGCTTTCTCAGAGGACCTCGTTCCGCGGACGACCGACTGTCGGTTGCACGACGGTTCATCACGACGGTCGGACCGAGCGTTTGTTGGGAGGAAAGAGATCTGTTAAAGGAAGAGTCAACATCGACCCGTCTAGCGTTGGCAGGAGTTTTCTCATCTTGAGGCATCGGTCGTCAATTCAGCTTCGGTCGCAATGGTCACATTTGGCGGAGGTGTGCTTAAGAGCTTTCGTCCACTATAGTCGCGCTTGATCGACGGGCACGGGGGCCCGCGGACCCAGATTTGGTCATGGTCACCTAGCAGGGAATGCCCAGTTGGTTTGGGAAACTTAAACAAGGGGCACTCTACGGATACCACTCCATATTCGACCAGTGCTGCAAAGCTTTATTCATAAATCTAGGTTCTCTAAGAATCCTTGGGACCCTCCATGGCAGGGCTCGGACTCGACCTCTTGGCAGGGGTCCGGGCCCTCAAAAACTAAGAGTTTTGAAGGGCCCCAAACAGAGGCCTCGATCCGGCCATTGCTTCAACACATAGCTATAGCGTTCCAAGACATTCCAAGACCATAAAATTAATAGGTTGACCTGGTAAAGACATGTAAAAACACGTAAAGACATAGTTAAAACCTGTTTGACATAGTCAAACCATCCGAAAAAACCGGTCACGAACTGCCTGGAGTCTAAGAAGTCGATGAAGCAATGCCCACGGGGTCGACCCAGAATGGGATCCATCACCACCTGCCAACGGTCCAGCTGCTCCGCCGTCGCTCCGCTCCGATCCCGATCGGACGAAAGCGATCCGCGCCGGAAACGGACAGGAGCGCCGGGGACGGGGGAAACGGACCCGGTTCCCAGAACTCGCTTCCCAAACACGACGAATGGGACTGCCATATATTGACCCCTCATGGCCCACCACAACGGGATGGCAGATGGAGACATGGAGTGTCTGGGTATTGGCTGAAAGGGAGGATCGTCGCGACCGTCGCCACGGACCGGGCACCATCGCGGGAAGAACATGATGGAGGTGAGATCGCGGATCGGTGGATTGGTGAGTGGCTTGGATTGAATAGATTGTTTCATGATTGTTTAAATATTGGTTGGACATGGTTGGACTGGACTAAAGAACTTCTTAATTTAGCTAATCTAATATTCAATTCTATATAATTCTATTGTTTGTTGGCTGGGTTGGCCCAACATCAACACGCCCCACCAAAACTGCTCAAAGCCGCCACCTCCTTCCGCACCTTTTCAGCATAGCGACGAGTCACCGTCGTCAGCGCGCCACGTGTCACCACCCGGTCGGACCCCCCGGGCGGTGCCTCCATGTGGACGGGCTTGACAACGACTTTCTTCAGCAGCAACGTGATCTTTCGCTCCAAGTCCTTGGCCACACCGATCTGGCTTTCATTCAGTTCGGCGCAGTGAGTTCGGTGTCGTCGTTCGTTCGAGGACCGATGGCTGTTTCACCGGGCTGTCGCAACACACGAACGAAGAAGACCCGACTCCTCTGGACCCATCGCCCCCAAATGCGGAGTTTTCTGCCTGGTTTTCGGGCCTGGGGTCACACCAATCACGGGTTTTTTGTGAAGAAACAATGGTCTCAGACCACTCGACTGTCTGACAGGTCAAGGTTACCTAGCGAACAGCGAACAAACAGCTTTTGGACGGCTATGCTCGTCGGCAAAAAGGAGCGCCGCAGCATGTGTCTGGCTGCTTGTGTGGTCGATCTCATCGTCCAAAGTTCGAAAGGTCACGAAAATCCCCTATAGGGCTCCAACCACATCCCCAGGTTCGGTGGTTGGGGTGGGTGCCAGGGGGGTCGAATACCACCCAACCTGAGGATGTGGGGCGTTCGGAGCCCTATGAAATTAGCCAAGCCCTGCTCAGCCCTGCTCTCCTCCTCTGACAGATGCACCACACCCGGTCTCCATGTATCTCGTATCTCTTGACCCAGGGTGCCCCATGCTGGCCCCATAGGCCGAGGAGGTTTGCCAAAAAGGACAACGATGGAAGGCGAAGACGGAATTGGACATCATCCTGTGACTGGGTGTCCTTTCTAGACTACCCTACCCTATAATACCCTATACTTATATAGGATCTTATAGGTCTCCATTTGGCACCCAGTAAGGAAGTGCTAAGAAAAAATATACATGTAATTTCTGTTTTTTTCTAACCCCGAAGCTGACCAAGCCATTCACTTTGGAGAGTACTCCTGGATCCGCTTCCTCTCCTTCCCCTATCTGCCTCTGGCGTCATCTTCGTCGGAAGCTTCTCCATCCTCTCGCGCGCACCCCGACCGGCTAACTGGACAGACTGGTTGCGCTGGAAGTGCAAGAAACCCCGAGCGCCCGCCTGACTCTGAAAACTGCATCATCAGGTTGAAAGGTCTGGGCCTGAGGCAAAACACACCTGGACCATCCTGTCTGGGTGTGGCGAGACTACCCAGCCCACTACTATCCGGGATCTCGAGCCACTACTCTGGGAGGTCTGGCATGGTCCAGGTATGCCCAAAGAACCCACAAACGACCCGCTCGACCGCTCCACGAACCGCCGCGGCGTGGGACGCGTTCGAGCGAGGTGAACACGGGGGGCGGACGAGGTCAGACGGGACAGGGGAGCAGTACGGACAGGGTCGATTGGAGGACGAAACGCTTGGCATATGGCACTGAATGGGAAACCATACCAGGACACCCTAAGGGGCTTCCATTGATAGCTCCTTAGAGGTGATTCGGGGTGCAAATAAACAACGAAACACCTCGAGGCCACAAGAACTTGCCTACGAGGTCAGGGGTTTCCCCCTCCTGGAGGATCGATCGACACAGATGCTTGAACATGGTAGTTCTCAAAAAAAGCGAGGCAATGAGCTGTGAGCTTCTCAGAATTCGACCAAGATATACCAAGACCAATGCCTTGCCAAGACGATCTGTGATTCGGACTGGCTTTGCTGTAAAGCTTGCACCCTTGCTCTTCCCCATGCCAGTCCTGCCACTTCGGAGCGCCGTGGCGCTTCGGCCGTGGCGGTTCCGGACGCCGTTCAATTTGAGGCAACCAGTGGCAACCTGTGGAATCACCCTGTTCAACACAACGATTTCGTGGCCTTTTGGCCTTTTGGCCACCAGGTAAAGGGAAGAGAACCAACACAAACGCGATAACCTTGACATCCTTTGACGACTGGGCACGACACTGTTGGGGGTCCCTGCAGAAGTGCTACCTTGCCGGCCTGCCATACTACAATGTTGCTGGCAGTTGCTGGCTAGACATTGTTAGGTATGACTTTGTCCCTGTCTCTCTCCCTATGGGCTGGATGCATATATATTCCGTTTCCTTTGACCAGCACACCACATTCCTCGATGAAAAACAAGCATTGCTCAATTGTGACTGCTATTTGTCTCAAGCTTTTCAACTAAGCTGGCACCCGCCATCATCAAATTTCCAGGGACTATTGACTATCGATCTTAATAAGACAGATCTTGCATGATCGTGCCCTCTTCGAGTCCTGCGCTCCTCTTCTGCATATCCTGCCCTCTGTGGAGAAAACCACCTTCGCCCTCAAACACGACGCCCGAAAGACACGAAAACAACAGCACCCGGGCGCTCCAAGAGGTGTCTATAAATATAGCCTTCTTATGATGGTTCGGAGAGTCCCAAACACCACCAGGTCCGTGTTGGAAGGCCTCCGTCGATCCCATCCGCCCACTCGACCCACTCTCCCCACCGCGGGACGAGGTAAGCATCGGGAGACAGGACGAGGTATGACACCCGGAGTGACACCCCGGGGGTATGAAAGGCGGTTTGAAGGTGGTGCAAGTCGGGGTTTGAGACAGGGCGGCAGATATACTATGCCGGTCTCATGGAGTGTCTGTACCACACCGATCTTGAAGAAATCCAAACACGAACATCACCAAACTACCCCCAAACGACTGTTCACCCTTCCCATGGAAGATCATCCAATCGTTCATCCAATCGTGCCAAATTGGTCGACCCTGAGTTCGCACTCGCTGGTCCTCGCTTGCACCATGGCCTCGAAAAAGAATGCAATCGAGTTTTGGAGGAGGCTTGGCTCGCCAGGCTTGGGGAAGGTCATCTTTCCCAGAAACATCCAGAAACGATGTCTAGCTCGGCACAATTTAACACTTGACCGCACAGCCCAATGAACTTCACAATTTTCAGAGCAAATGCTTGTAAAGAAAGAGCTACCATGAGGAGGTCACCGCAAATCGCTTTTGGACCACAGATCTCCACTGAGCGAGCCCGGCGCGTTCCAGTGTCGCGCGGAGGCTCGGGTGGTCCGCAGCCAAGTGGGCTGCCTGAGGCGCCGTTGCGACGAATGGGACTGGAAGATATCACCCTAGGCCTCCAGTCGTACCTTCTGAGGTGGGACTGGGGTGGGTGCCAGGAGGGTCTAAATATCTTCTGAGGAGGTACCTAACGAGGTTCCAGGTATATCATACAACTACCAACACCTTCCAACAGGTCTCCGAAATGGAGGGTTGGGAAAGGCCCGTGCCCAGGTTTCAATTGGTGACCTGTGAAGTCGGTGCTGGTATATGCCTACATTGACCAGTCCCAAACAGGTCGTGTCGTGTCTGGGGATGATGGCTTGCTCATGAGGCCTCATGGCAGCCCTTGCCAAATCTGCGAAGGGAACAAACGACACGGCAAACACGGCATGTGGCACATTGACCATCATTGACCTACATTCCGGTGGTTTCAATTCTCCATGTGGGCATGTAATACGGAGATCCCCGCAAATGCCTTTTGGTCGTTTTTTCGTCTTCCAGGAGACCAGCCATTTCTTCCACTCTTGATTCTCGACTGAAGGCATAGCCGCGAGGCACAGATTGCCGTCTCTTCAGACTAGGGCACCCCTGGTACTGACAGATCTGACCTTACTGAGGCTGTGACCGTTCGCCCTCTGTTGTCCTGCAGTCAGACAACTTCTGGCCGTTCCACTGTGACAAACTGTATCGTTGAGGCCGTACTGGAATGAAACCAAAAAGAGTCATCCAAACAAGCATCACTCAGATACCAAATGAATCTGAATGCACAAACTTTTTTGGAACGTTTCGGAGCAATTTGGGTGTTCTTCAAACTAGCACCCCTTTGCTCGAGATATCTCCCACTTATGACACCTAATCAAACACATCCAGTGGAGCACCCAGGACAATGCGCAGTTTCTCATGTTTCTCGCACCCATTTCACCACCGGATCATCACCAATTCCGAGATTGAACCCGAAGACAAGACTGGACCAAACCGCTGCGGTCTCTTCAACGGCCGAGTGAACGGCGCGCGCGCGCGCGGCGCGCTCTCCTTCAAGTCTACCTGGGTGGAAGGCTCTCGCAACATCTTCTCCACGGCCTGCAGGGATGACTCGGATCGCGACACGCGACCGGTGACCTACATAAGGGGACCCCGATTTTGGCCGGTTTGGGAGCAACTTCCCGGGCGTAAAAAAGGCAACCCATCCGGCATCTCCAGGAGTTGCCCGGGGTTGAACTCGATCTCTTGACTTTAAATTCACAAACACCCACCTCTTGTTTTTTCGCTTCGTTTTGGTATCACCTGCTTTTCCATGGCAAATCATGGAACATGTTCAAACAGTAACTGCTGGAAATCAAACGCTTCATGTCGTTAGTACAGTACATCAAACTACATCAGAGGGTCGCTCCTCTTCCGTATGTCCTCCGTGTTTTGCTAAGGATAAACCCCACCCCTTTTCCATGGCCCCTTCGTATTTCCACAGCCCCTTCGATCATCGCTCGCGACTCAGTTCCAACGCCTTCGGTGTGACGTTCGTTGTTTGGTCAGCACCATTCCCCACCACCGAGCAAATCACCGCGTTCGTTTTTCGGTGTCGAAGCACCGACCTCCGAGTAGTTGGCCGCCGCCGCGCGCATCAAAGGCGTCTCCCCATGCCGGTCCCGGGCGTTGCAATTGGCCTGGCGATGCGGCCCGGGTGCCGGGGTGGTGGGGAAGGTGAGGAAGGTTTGGGGGAGGTTTGGGCTTTTTGGGCGGAATTGACATGAACATGTGCATGGTACATTGAAACGGCTCACCCTTTTTAGAGCACTTGTTGGTGAACTTGCGATATTGCCATGATCAGTGATTGCCAAATAGACAGATTCATGCCCAGCTGATGCTTTTGGTTTATATATTGTTTCTTGATTTCAATCGGAGTATTCCCCAAAACTAAATTTTTGAAATTCTAAGTGCCAGGAAATCTGGGGACTTGAGGGGTTTCCAGTCTCCAGTACTTTTTAATATTCCGCAAAGCTAAAGGCACTAAACATATTGTATACAGTGATACTTTTTTTCCTTCTAATAGTGGGCAAACTTAGACCAAGTAAATATTGCTGTTTTAAATCAATCCTCTACTCGTCTTTGTTGTTTTTATTCATGGTCTACTGTAATGTAAATGCCAGCAAACCTTGGGCTTCGGGCCTTAGGGGGGTTTAGCCGTTTTAGTGTTCCACAAAACAAACAACACAATATACCTGGACCATCCAGCGGGTGTCCAATGGACTACCCTGCACTACTTGGGGATCTATTGCACACCCTTGGATGGTCCGGTAGATATTCTTATGTTGGAGCTTTGTTTGGTCTTTTCGTGTTATTCCACTAAGCTAGAACATATATATATATATTATATACTGTTCAATGCTTCCAATGTTTTAGTGCCAGGTTTTCCCTGGCACAAAACATGGGTTGCCAAACCCAGGAACGCCTCATGGCTGGACAGCAGACTTGAACCCGACGCACCAGCCGTTCACTTGTCACTTTGTTCACTTCCAGTAGTTTCCCGCCGACTATCGCAAACATTCAAACAGTATGGTCTTCTACGCCGTCACCATTCACGTTTTACATGCAAAACCACATACATCCTCCGTGTGCTATCTGGCGCTGCCCGTCCAGTAATGGCAATAAAACAGGCAAGGCTCTAAATTGACGTACGACACATTGGGGTCAAAGAATGTATGGTGGCCTTTCATCATTGGATGTTACCTGGCGCTGAATACATGCTCCGCCCAACTTCTCCCAGTGAGGCAAGAGTTGATACATTGAGGTTGGCCCAGAAGGCAAATTCTTTCCTAAGTTCCTTATTTTCCAGTCGACCTTAAAGATTTGTGAGCAAATGCAAACAAACTCTGCTTTTCACTCTTATAAATCACTCTTGGAAATGTATCGCCCTGTTCCAGGTCGCTCCAACCATGTTTCCAGCTCAAAACGCTCATCTTCACTGTTCTTGATGACGAGGAGGATCTCCCATTCGCGACGCTGATGGATCCTTTTCTGTAGGCATGCGACGAGCGGGCCCCATGGTTTGCTCCCTCTTCGTCGAACTCGCGAGTCTCGTAGCCCTTGAGCTCCTTGCGTCCCCTCAAATGGGAGGTTTTGCTCTTGGCTAATCCATCGGAATCTGCCGAACTCGACATCTCACCTTGGGATCTGTCGCATGTGCTCAGGTCCGATCCACACTTCCTGGCCTGGCAGCTTGGCGAATTCTTCATCTTTCGCTAGATCTTCTGTGTCAATCGCCCTGACCGTCGGTGCGAGGTTTGGCAGCCTCACCCTCTTCGGGTTGGCTTTTGGCCTTGATGCCAGTCGCTCAGCCTCTTGCCACAAGCGATAGCGCTCATCGCGCTCTTCCTTTTCGCCGCGAACGACGATGCGCCCTTTGAGATCTTGGTACACCAGCTCTTCATAGTGGGCCTTGGCTGTGGCTGCAGCTTTCTCCAGGTCCGTGAGAGTTGACTTCGGCGATCCTTCCGGAACGCTTGGAGGCTTGGCAGTACTGCCGCCACTTTAGCAGGACCTTCGTGCCAGAGAAGTCGACTGGAGGAGAAGGAGCCTTGCCTTTGGAGCCGCTCATAATTGCCTCTCGGCCAGCTTCCGTGAGTTGAGAGATGAGATCCATGTGACTGGCACCTAGCACAATCACATAGCGGCGAGCCTGAGCTTTGTCTAAAAATTGCTTGCAACCGCGTTCCCCCAGGAAGCAGAGCGAGCCCCCCGACACACGGTGGCTGTCTTGTTCCTGGGTCGCAACCAAACTGAGTTCGCGGTGCGGAAAGAGTGACCGGTCTAGCTTTCCTTCTTTTCGATAGCCGCTGGTTTCTGACAATGGAAGACGCGCCAACAGTTTCTCGCTCCAAACTTCTATCTCCTCTTCTAACGTCTTGAACGCTTGTTCCATACTGGATCGATGACACACGGCCCTGAGGCCGGCGGCATATCGGGCATTTTACCCAACGCTTCATGCTTCATACTCTTTACCATCAACTTTGATACTATACCGTCACAACTCTTCATCTTCTAGGCTTCAAGCTGCCATTGCTTTGCCCTATGTTCCACTGTGCCCTTCCCTCTCTTCTCTACTCCACGGTACTTTGTCCTACTTGATTCCAGTGGATTCATCCAAAGTGATACGGCTTAGAGTAGAGTGCTGTGCTGTAGGCAAAAGCTGGTGGAATATTATATCTTCCTCTTTTCCATCGTCCTAAGTCAATCTGTACAAAAGAAAAAACAGTCCAGGTCAGACATGGTTACAGTTGGATTGCGTGGGGTTGTCTCAACTGTGGAGGAAGATAAGGCAAAATGGCCGGATCTTATCTACTTTGTGTAAAACGTGGAAACACGACCCCGAATGACTCGCGTAGTCGTGGGTGTGGCACTTTTGCCATCGTGGATCAGCTCATGGTAATTCTCAGTGTTTTGTAGATGCAGACCTTTTGCCTCGGGTAATTTTTTCTGCATATGTTACCCCTCTTTTAAGAGCATCTGCATTGGGATTCGCAAGCGCACCATTCCCTCCAACCCCCAACAAATTGCATCATCAATTTTCACCGCGCCATAAGTTCGCTGCTCTTGGGCAGCAGGATGCAGCACCCTAGCCAACAAACATCAACAAACCAAATAACTTACGCAATTTCACAAAGGCACCACGGGAGAAAGGGAGCTGGCAGCCCAAGTATGCATTGTGAACTGCTTGAACTGTAGGACCCGGATGCAGGTGCATTGCGCTAAAGTCAGTATTCCTGGGAAAGGCTTATCCACAGTGATCCTTCTGTCCCTTGTGATCCTGAAAACTGTCATCACCAGGCCAATCTTGAGCTCACTGCTAGACGTAGTATACACAGTGTGCACTTGAGGTGAGAGGTCTTCTGCCTGCTTGAAGCCGGACGCACCTGTGACACCAGAAGAGATTGAATTGGTGCACACCACGGCTTTCTGTGTGTTTTGCCAAGCTCACAGGCGTGACTGACGGGTTTCACTCAGCAACGAGACAGTAGAAATCCAACACCGGTCAAGGTGTTTAAACAAAATGTCCCGCGCAGCGAGACGAGGCCTAAGGATAACGAACGCATCATTGAGCTTCAAAACCTGTGGTCAGTGTACCTTGCCCCTCGAATGCAACAAGTCTCGACGTAGTTGGCCCCGCTCCCCCTGCCCCCGCCCACCCCCCTGTTGTTGCTTTTGCTTACCAGCCCAGAGAGGGACACATTTTTTGGCCTTGCATCATATTGACACCACCACATTAGTTTTGCGTCATCTGCATCAGCCAGCATGCCCCCTAAAACCCAACATAGCCGCGAAACCTGGTCGCACACCGTTGATCTTGCTGGGGGTCAACTCTAAAGCGCCAAAGCACTTTCATTATCATGCATGCAAAAAACATTACAATGACATCTAACTTTTCATTATCACGAGCAAGAGAAAATAGCCTCGGCAGCAGGCTGACCTCTAGCTGGAAGTGTATGTAGTAGTGGAAGTGTTAGATTCAGGGCTATCATCCTTAACCTTGAGGATTTTCTCGTGGTTGCAGCATGCGACCACCTCCACCCAGACATCGGGTCCCATCATCCGTTTGAAGTTCCTCGTCTTTAGCGCAACTCTTCTCAAAAAAAGCTCCTGGCAACGGTCGGATGTCTTTTCTGAGAGCTTGATAGGCTACGAACCTCTGTGTCCTCTCATATGTGTACATGACAGACACATTTGGCTCAAGCCTGGAAAAGCCGCTTGCTTTCAAGTGCAACGCTGCACTTGACTGGCTTGCCGTGCGTTGTCCGTTGGACCACTCTCGAGACAGTGTTCTTTCCAAGTGAACTCCACTGCATTGCACTTCGTGTCACCCCCCGTCCCTTCCACAGCACGTCGAAGCCACGACTGAAACGGAACATGGAAGAACTTGCGGAACAACAACGCCTGCGCGAGTCACGACTTCCCGCACTTTCTTCTACTCTACTCTGTTGGCGGCCGCAATTTGGTGTCAAGGCTCCCCCAAAAGGTGTGGAGATCACTTTTTGTACGCACTTCCTGCATGTGTCCATAAGCTAGGCATCGACGCTAACCCCCGCGCGAAACGAACGTTTCTTTGCAACACATCCAATACAAAGCGGTCAAGTCACTGGGTTTTTGGTGTTTTTGGAGATAGGCTCTTAATAGGTCACCTTCTGTTTGCATTGGCAGGCTCAGTAGAAAAGAATATAAAAGGCACGTGTTGTGCCAGGGTGACTGGGGAGAACAGGTTGCTTTGGAGAAGGGCCGAGGCGAAAGCGACGTTTCTTTCCGTCACGAAAGCCCTGTGCGTTCCAGCGAATCGAAGCTGAAAGCTGTAGGCGTAGCTCCACAGCCGTTGCGACACTACCCTGGCATCCACTTCCATCTCACGAGCATGTAAAGACTTGGGCATGGACTTTTTCAAAAGTTTCCAGAAGTTGTCCAAAGTTTGCGTGCCTGCCACGGATGCCTGGTGGGAAAACTTCTTGCGACCTTTCAGGCCTTGAGTAAACTCACGTTTACTATGGTTCACCTCCGCAAAAGGCAGTTACGCAAGAGGGACATTCGCTTCCAAGCACCACGCATTTCTTGGGGTTCAAGCCATCCAACAGCTGCGTTTCCTGTACTTCCTCGAACCTTTCTGTGGGGGGTCGACTATATGGTGGCACCAGCTTTGCTTGCAAGGGCTGTAGCAAAACACGTCCCAACTCTCTACGCTCCAAAGCACCAGAACAAGACACCACAAGACACAACGCAAAACGAAGTTCGGTACTATGCTGCATGTTTGCGGCTGTGTGTGTGTTCCGGCTGCGTGCAAGCGGAGGAAATTAGGCCCCTGCCCACCCCAACCCCCCAAAGGAAAACAGTGTGCATACGAAGCTGAGGGCCCCGCGCATGTCAACACAATTGTAAAAACGTCTTGCAAACCCGAAAAAATGTAAATTTATGTAAATTGTGGTTTCGCGCGGGGCCCCGGTTAGCGTCGTAGGCATAAACTAGCTCGCTTTCACTGGGTTTTGGTCATACATCTGCACACTGATTCCCATTGGAGAAGTGGTCATCTCAGTCAGGACAGGAGTATGAATTCGTACACATGTCATGTTCATCAATAAAGCCATGCTCATCCAACGAAAGAACCTTGGCACCCATCCGGCTGATGTTTTCCATACCGGCCGATCTTCCTTTCAGCCCCTTCAAGGCACCGGGAAAACCCCCCGCACATCCACACATCCGCTGCACATCCGCCTGCAAATCCACCAGCTTACTGAGCACCTTGAAGTGACCTGGTCGCGAGACACCGAACCGGTGTCCACCGGACACCGGAGCCCCGGCCGTGCCGGGCCTTCGGGCCTTTTTGGGAACGACCCCAGGAGCGCCTGACTTCCGCGGAGGTCGCAAAAAGCTATAGGGATCAGAACCCCTGACCTGAGGATTCGGGTCCGATCCCTCCAAAATCAGGCCCAGCAGTTTGGGGCAATTGCGGAAGAATTGAGTTTGCCATTGCAGTTAATTGGATGATGAAATCCCACCAAAGCACCCAGTTCTTGAAGTACTGGTCCGATGTAGGACAAGGGTAATTGCTCCAAAATTGAGCAAGCGGCACGCTCCCTGGAATAAACATGGAAGTGGAAAATGAGCCGTTAGATGACCACTTCCATGATTTCTTTCAGTAAATTATAATCAGGCCACGATCCAAAGTTTAGCCACCACCCAGTCACTGTCCGACAAGACCACTTCGAACCAACCAACAGTCCCTTTGTATCTCAGCAAGCTATTCACACTTGATAAAATCGCATAAAATCACGCAAGAGCTCAACTTCAAGACCTCTTCACCCCCAGCAAACTACGGACCGGAGCACTACATCCATGGACTCTTGAGACATCTTGAGACCAGTCTCCATGCTGACCACCACACTCATCCGACCAAGGATGCTGAACCCAACCACGTTGGGGTCTAAACCCTGGAGAAGGCTTTATGGTCATCAACCATCATAGTACTCTCCCTGAAATAATCCTGGAAGTGGAAAAGCACCAGTTTATGTAGGAAAATGGTCATCCTTTGGGCCATGCCATCCACGTTGGCCAGTGATTATTTCAAGCTTTGAACAGGTTCAGTCGTGGGTCACAAATACATACAAATGGAGTATATCCCATTACCAGTAACAGTGGATGATGATGATTAGTGAAGGCCTTCCTTAAACTAGTGATAGCTGTTTACCGACTGTTACACGTAATGGGACCAACCCAAACAAAGCACCCTCGCATACCTAGCCCAATCCAATGGGTGTGTGTCCTATCGGCCTTGCTCAGCTAGCAGTGCTTTGGCTAGCAGTCCATGGATGACCAACGTGAACGCGGTATCAGCCTGGTATCACCTTCGCGATCGGTCGCCCCAACGTGAACGCGATCGCCTAAGGACTGCCCAGCATCCACCGCCACGTGAAGCGGAGTCTCTCCCTTCGAGTTGGCGTCCTCGGACGGACAGTCGAAAGCGGATGGAGGTCAAGACACATGAGATCGAAAACAACAAAACGACATATATTAATATATATATATATGTAAGGACAAAAAGAACATATATACAGTATATAGTACCTTACATAGTCCCTGTTTTGTATATAGTAGCATATGAACCAAACAATGCAAGGCTGGTTTTTTACCGGTGTGACACGGATAGAACCCATTAAAAATTTCCTGATTCGTATCGTCTCCCACTTCTCACCGTCGCACCATGAGTCCTTTGGGTCAGAACTCATGAGTCCTTGGGTTCTGACAGTTGGCTTCTGACAGGTTGGTGGCTTGACACCTGAACGAACAAACCCTTTTAGACCCGAAACGGTGGCGCCTACACGTTGGAAACCCGAAACAAAACGCGTCCGTGATCAAGTCCCTGTCGTGTCCGCCATGTCGTGTCCCCCACGTCCGCCATGTCACCCTATTTGGAGACCTATAAGGTATACGTTACAGTGTATATATAGTTTAATTATGTTTAATTATTGTTGGACACTCCAGTCACAGGAGGATGGCCTCCACCACGTCATCTCCGTGTTGCTCACTCTCTGAGCACCTCACGAGGAGCCGTTGCACTCCTGGACCTTTCGTCGGCTTCGACCTGGAGCCGTTTGGCGTGGGAGGTGGGTCCGTCCGCTCGAGCAGTCGGCGCGAGCTCCGTCGAGCGGGGAGATGGCCGTTGGGATGTCTTCAACCTGGATCTTCCGTTCGTGGACGGACGATCTCCTGGTTGGTTCGGTCACTTCAACGTGGAACGGCCTGGCTTTTCGGTCGGTCACTTCATGTCACGTCGCTTCAAACAGATTGGACGCCAGGTCGGTCGGACTCGGTCACTGGGTCGTTCACTTCTCCACCGATCGCAGCGGTCTAGTCCCCCAAACCACACTCGTCCTGTGTGTTTCTTTCAGCCCTAAGAATCCGCACCCTCAAAGAGATAGGGTTTGGTTCGGGCCCGGACCCCTGCCAAGAGGTCGGGTGCGACCCCTGCCATGGAGAACCCAAGGATTCCTAGGGAGGGCCCAGAATTCTTAGAGCTTACAAGACACATGCAGGCTGTCGATGAAGAACATCCCCAGCTGCTAGATGGAACTGCAACTTCATGTATGGGGGGTCTTCTGAAAAAAAACATATTCTACATTACCAAAGGATACTATATATATACATAAAGATGTCTTGAACAAATTGACACATCTTCGAATTAAATCTGCAGTGTACACTACTATGTGTCTTGGTGTCTTGAAACATCTTCCACCTATCATCGTGCACTGAAAGAAACACAACATTAAGCCCTATGGAAGTGAGCAAAACACATGAAAACAGTTGAACACATATGAAAACCAGACCCTGTTGACTACAGGAGTCTTCTGTTCAGGGCCATCCACCTCCACTCAATGAGTCCTGCTTGCGGCACATCCGAAAGGTGTGGAATGCTCACGGAATACTGGGGTTCATGATACTTAAACCACTACTCAATTTTCAGTTGTCAGGAGCAATGATGTTGATTCTACTTCTCAATGTTCGGTTGAACCACTTTGAAGGATGCAGCACATTGGAAGGCTCATCTGATCTTGCCCGGCTCTGTTCCTCAGCTTCTCCAGGAGAATCCTCACATCGACGGCCTCGGGACGGGTCGCTCTCCTGAGATCCCTCACATCTTCCGAAGCCGTCGTTGAGCGGCCAGAAGTAGCAGCCTGGCAGGATCCGAACGCCGCACATCCGCCGGATCCGGCCCTTGAGCGGAGATCGGGCGCCGCGCCAATGAGAGGCCGAGGAGATCCAACTCATTCTTGGGTCTTGGCATAAAACAAAGGGAGGTGATGGTGTGCACGGGATTTGGATCTATCCCTAGACTTGGAGCGACCTGGTGTCGTAACATCTTGAGGAGGTTCGGTAAGAGTCACATAGATATTATATACAAAATTGTTTTAAAAACAACTTGACTAAGTGAATAAGTCAATGGTGGCTGGAAGCCTTGGGTATGAAGTTTTATCTAATCTATCCTTCACACAAATTCCTACGCTTGACTCACACTCCCATGTCAAGTCTGCTGCTCCATCGGGGGACGACCAGCGTCCCCTTCGCGCCGATGATTCGCCGCTCACGACGTCATAAGCAACGCCGGAGATGCTCTTGACCAATCAAAGTCCACGCCTCTCAGGAAGCGGGCGACAACATTGGGATGGGTCAAACCCTATAGAGCCCGACCAGTCCACCATGTAGGTCAACCAACGCATCCTTGTTTCTTCCTGAGTATGTCTAAATGGGTGTGTAGCTGTAGCTCAAATATGGAGACCTTTCAGGCAAACCCCCTTTCCAAAAGGGAACTAGACCAGTCTACACGTTGGGCCAGGGCCAGGGGTCTCCTGATTCTTCCATACACACCCACACGAACTACACTTGTGTTGAGTATGATCCCATCTGCTCTGACTCCTCCTCTCCAAGGGAACATTTTCTGCTAACCTTTCATGTTTAGTGGGAAACCAATCCCCCCAAAATGGTTTTGTAGGTGATCCCCTTTTCCTGGCGCCAGGTGATTGAACAGGCTGGATCTGTTGATTTCGTCGCTTGGTAGATGCTTTCGAAGGACTCTTGAGCTTAGCAAACATGCGGATACTGGATACAAACTCGTCAAGTGCAAACCTATACAGGATCATCCAATAGGTGTCCAACAGACTATATACCCTACTTACAGGTCTCCAGACAGGGCACCCAGTAAGGACGTGCTAGGTCAGCGATGAGCTGGAGGAGGTTTGCTCCATGTGCCCGACGAGGCGGCCACACCCACCCGGCCAAGCGCCAACGCCCATCGCCTCATCCTTGGATGTGGGTATCTCCTTGGAGAAGCCATCGGACAACGTCACGCTGGCCTGTGTGACTCCGGTGGACCGGTTGGAGGTTCCTTTCAGTCGGGAGCAAGGGGTTCTGAGAGGTGTGAAGAAGAAACTAAGCATCAAGAAAGACGTGAAATCGGCACAAAAGAATGGGCATATGGTATATGTATCCGCCAATCTGTAGATGTGGCTTTGCCCAATTTCAATTGATTTGCCAGAGATGAGTGCAGGTCATCCAAACATTGGAACAAAGCGAGTCAAATGGGTGACAAGCCTCATTCTGGGCATGTAAGGCCTTCATAGCGGCACAGCGCTACTAAGTGTACCATGGAAACACAAGTCAACTGAATACACATTCCCTCTATGCTCCACTTCTTTGATCCACTTGGACCCTCTATGCTCCACTTGCTTTGCCGCGACATTCATGCCAACCTTCCAAACACACCCTCTGCGCGGAGGCCGAGAGGAGTTCGTTCCGGCGTCGCGCGGAAGCGCGTCAAGCGCTCCGCCATGGCGCTCCGCGCCGCTGCGCCTCATCTTTGGATCCCATCACCTCACCCAAATGCGAACCGCGGTGGGACTGCCAGGTGTGCATTTCTCTGTCTGGGGTAGAATTCCAGTCAGCCTATGACTAACTGCCCCAGTCAGACGTCGCGAGCTGTAGCTCCGCTCGTAGCTCCGCTCCACACCAGCCGAGTGCGACTTGGCATGTGATGCTCGGACAACGCCCCCCCCGGCGATGTTCCATGTGATGCTCGCGATGAATGTTCCATGTCTGCCTGAATCCCAAGACCATCCTGAGCCAATCTCTGGAGACCCCAAAACATCCAACGAAGCCTCTTCCTGGTTCTTCAGTTCGTGACCGTTCCTTGCGCCAATCCTGGTTGGTTCCGTAGTTGGGCCTGTAACAGGTCACAAGTAAGGGGACTCCAAAAAGGTCACTTTGAAGAAGCTGGTTCATGAGTACGACCCCGTGAGGGATTTCGTCGGAGAGTTGGTTGTCGTCCATAGAAATGACACAGTGGTCTGTGCGAGCCCTGTTTGTCTACCTATACTTCTGATCTAAGGGGTAAATGGCTTGAGCTCGTACTAGGATAATCTAAAATCAACACAACAATCCCAACATTGACATCAATGACAAGAACCCAAAGGGTTTTCATTGCAATTCAAATCTTTTACCTGGCAACCATAACAACCAAGCACCATATATTGGATGTTTCCCCAGTCCCAGCCACTTCTTATGCATGAAGGATCGATCCTCAAGCAAGCCAAATAGGAACAACCATCTTTTTTCCAGTTTCAAACAAATATATATATATATATAATATATAGTCTCTTAGATTCAACTCAAATTCTGAACCAGCATGGTGGGCGCGGTGCCCGCGCGGCTACAGGCAGTATGCTGTGTGAGGGTCATGGGAAGAGTCCCCAGGATCAGCCATAAATGTCATATTGATTCATATTGATCGTCGACCACATCATATCCTGAGACGTAGAACCATATCATCTCAACCACCTTATGATAAGCTCATATAACCGCTGCAAACGGATCTTCAGTTCGTGACCGTCCGGACGAAAAAACCTGGTTGGTTCGGTCGAGAGGTTAGGCCGTTAGGCCCATGAGGTCGGTAACTGGTGTTCGGGTCACTGGTGGAGATTCCTGGATCGGTCCCGATTCCTTGCTTGACCAACCATACGCCATTCCAACCGCACCATCCACGAGGTCTTCCAACGAATTGATGCCGATGAATGCCCAAACACTCCATGGGAGTGCCATAGGACTGCCGATCAGGGTAATGACGTGGTTTTGGGGGGTCTGTCTGGGGCGGCAGTCCGGATCGTCAGTGTCTGATCGGTGGACCTTCGCAGCCACGACTGCGCGAGGTCTTCGGTCGGCGCCTTCGACTGCGACGGTCTGCGCGAGTCGCGCGAGGTGACCTGGCGCGGAACGTCGGCATGCGCTCCGTGGTTTCGAAGCCTTGGACCCGACTGCCTGGACTAAGTCCACCGAGCGGACAGGCTAGGATGTTGACACAAGACTTGGTCAGGCATTGTGATTTTAATCCAACACCTGAGCTGCATTAAGCACACATGGTCAACCAAGTCAAGCATGGTTAACATGGTCGGAAGGCTAGTGTCATCCAACGATGTCCAACCTTGGGAGAATAGAGGAGTCTAACCCATATACCGGCCTATTGGTTGTACACTGGGCGACTCACTTGGCGGTGTCCCTCATTTAAGCAACCAATACCCTAGCCCCTTCGCCTTCAAAGACCCCCCGAAAAATGGACCTTGTGTCGTTGTCTAAAATCCTGAGTAAAACAATGGTTCGTTGTAATGACCATTGAAACACATAGATAATCCCAAAAATATATTTGTAAGATGTAAGAGGCCATCTGGCTGGTCACCATGGCTGGTCACAACTGGTCACACTTGTCCTATGCAGGCGGTACATGGTCACACAGAACCTCTAATGCCGTCTTTGATGGGTGCACAAGCAACCAACAGCTGCACATTGGGTCAGTGAGCTCGATGAACAGTTACCAGGACCCATATGGCTAACTACCAGTAGTAACCATGAACGACTTCTTTGCATCTCTACCAGGACCATCCTGCTTGGGTGTTCTGGCTGGACTACCCTACCCTTACCCCACATAAATAGCTCTCCAAACAGGGCACCGAGTAAGTAGGTATCAAGTGCCTTCCATTTTTGGTGCACCTCACTGAAAAATGATAGAATATTTTTATTTTTTTTAATTATAAAAAACAACATCCAACTTTACCGACCTAGTCACTTGGCACCTGTTCCACAGCCATCCTTTGGCCAAATCGAGCCGCCCTAGCACCCCCAGCAGCCTCCACTTCCATCAAATTCCTTCTAGATGCTTCAATTTATCCGTGTAGTTAACTACGGTAAAAAACCTAGTGTATCCACACTGTTCGGGGAAAAACCAAAGAAGATTCCACCTACCTGAAAACCCAATCTCAACCAGAAAAAACACATGGTTGTTCCAATATGTCACAATATGGTAATTGAGATCCTTTACATAGCAAGTGGTTGTGTGGGGCACTAGGCGATGAAGCATTGGTTTTGCTGCTTTTGAGATACCCTGCCTTTGTCAGGGCAAACACCGTTTGGATGCCTCCCGCGCCTCGTCTCCTGTAGAAACATCAATTCTTTGCAGGTTCAGTCGACTATTCTCAACATCGCCCTTAAATTGATCCGAGGAACTTGGCCTTTCCTTTACTTGGGAGGTGCCCCAAAACCGCTCTTTCACTGGACTTCCAAGTTGCTGGGCATGTTTGGGAACCAACTGGACTTCAAGTTGTTTCACTGGACTTCCAACTTGTTGAAACCAGCTCTGAACGTCGGACCTTCCCCGGCCTCCCGGGACTTCCGTCGTGACCCCGTGCGCTGCGCCTGCCGTGGTGGACCGGTGCAAGGATCGCCAAATGGATTCCCCATCTAATCATTATAGTTTTTTGTGTTGGATATACGGTATATCCACTAGTATATCCCATTGCCAGTAACAATGATGGTTACAGTAGTCTCAGTAGTCAATGGCACAAACCTACGTTATATATGGTTTGTCAGTTTGTCCTTTAATGGGTTCATCTTGCAAGGTTTGTGCATGGTTGTGCCGGTTCCTGAAAGTATGGGGCCATGGATCTGCAAATCCGATCAATACACACCTGAGTGATACCTGTTTTGGAGCCAAACCATGGTCTTTTCTGATGAATATATACCCTAGGAATTTTTAGGTTCCTGGCCCACATCCCCAGGTGAAGGTGGTTGGGGTGGGTGCTGGTTGGGGGTCGAAGACCTCCGGTCACCTGTTCGGAGCCGTTCGGAGCCCAAATGGGATAAGACGCTCCAACGGGTTCGACCAGTCAACCCGGCTACCCTTTTGGAGGTCTCCCTATCCCAGACACGACGATGGAAGTGGGACTGCCACCCCAATGTATAGGCATATATATGGCATACGTGGAGTGTCTGGGTCCTGGTATATTTGATATGTGTGTTTAATGGATGCCCCTGGATGTTTTCGTAGCTGATAGGTCGGGGGTCTATCCGAGGCTACGCCAGAACATCCTGTTGAACGGAAGATGTCCAACAATTCCACTCGCTCAAACCCTAAACACCTTCTTCCAGGACCTTTCAACAGGTGTTTTTTGGACACCCTTTTTACCTCTAAGAGGCTATTTATAGGCACCTCTTGGATGGTCCTGGTTTAGAAGGTACGACTGGAGCCCGGCCGGGTAGAAGAGAGTTTGGTCTTCCGAACCGGAGACGCTGGCGTGGAACACTGCGAGCCGACCCGCGCGGGGAAACCGCTGTTCGAAGTGCCCAAGGACGTCCTAAAAGCCAATCCCAGACTGGTGCCAGGGGGGTCAATAGGGCGGCATATGGCCGTGCCATGGAGTGTCTGGGATTGTTTTTCCAAATTGAAGTACTCGATCCTTCGGATCCTTTTCGCTTCACCTCATGGAGCATTCTCTCGTGGTCTGGCCCCAAACAGCGTGACACCGGTGCGACACACTACTGCAAGAACTCCATCACCGTGTGACCACTGTCGACTGGACTGGAATGGAGTGGATGAAGCACCCGAAAACCATCCAAAGGCCATTTACCCTCCCTGAAACAATCATGGAAGCTGAGCAGACCCCCCTTGTAGAGGACAAATGGTCTTCCAGGGGCCGAACTGTTCCACTTCGATTCTTTCGGGGAGTGTAGTCGTTCTTGGGATTTCTTCGGTCCCCAAACCCGCTGCAGCGACCACGCTGTGCTCCAAATTGCTGAACCCGGGACCCAGGGAAACCATCACAACACACTTCATCCCTGATTCACTCTCATCATCGCGCACAGCCAAGGTCTTCGGTCTTATCCCATCTTATTCCCCCCCTTCTCTTGGTATTTGGTTCAACACCCAGCGGTGCTGCGAACACTGGTCGAGCGCTGCGAAGCGTTTCTTCGCCAAGTCGGTGGCGCCTCGCTGGAGCGGCGGGAGCCGGACCTGGCAGAGGCCTCGGTGGCGGGGGAACCCGGCCGGGGCGGCACGGGACGGGCTTGAAGGGCAGGAGGCACGACCACCGATGTCCCAAGACCACGTGTTGGAGGTTGCTGGATGCATCTGGATGCACTGGATGGTGCTGGTACCGACCCTAGGACTCCAGTCGAACCTCAGAAGGTATGACTGGACCCTGCTGGCACCCACCCCAGTCCCCACCAATATTATAGACAATGCTTTCAGCCAAATACCGATAGGGTGTGGAGTCCCACCCGGTGCCATCGTGCCATTGGGCCCGAAGAGAGCTCCAAGCGGACGAGGGATCGGAACCCACCAGACGCGACCCGGCCGCGACCCGGCCCCGTTGGGCAACTGCTACCCATGTTGGTTCGGTCGGTCCATGTCACCCGTTCGTTGTGAGGGTCACAACCCGAGCGAACGGGTAGTTGGGTCCTTTCTGAGCCTTTGGGCTGGATCGATTTTGAGACCTTGGGAAGCAGAGCGGTTTTCACGGAGACGGATGGGCCGATGTAGGACCTCTTGCCTGGGAAGGACGTGATCATTGCAATCAGTCTTCGCAAGCCGTATGTATGACATGCGTCCATGCTTTCTTTGGCCTTGCGAAAGAAATCTAACAAAGCTGGGTCATCACAGGATCTCACATGGCACCAGGCAGATTTCTGCAGTCATGTCTTCAATCCTAGGGCTTCTAGGGGGTTGGTAGTCATATAGCTCCCGCAAAACGGTGCGTCGTTGACACCTGCACCGACTCTTGCGTCGCAATGACGAGGTTTTCCACAACTCGTCCGGCTTTCAGTACCCAAGGGTGAATCATCAATCCCAAACAACCATTGTGATGATTAACCCTTGGGTACTGATGATTAACTGATGTTTACACTTCAAAACCAGGGAAGACCATTGTGCTACTGAGGTTTTACACTTCAAAACCAGGTCTTTCCCATGTGTTTGAATTTTTGAAAGGTCGACGGTCGAACTGAAGGCGATCTGGAGTTTCTTTAGACCCCCAAATCGATAGTAAAGGTAGATCCCCACTAAAATCGTCTTGGAAACCGTGCCACTATGTGCCACTTATATTTGGGGACCACTATACTACCCTAGGGCTCCAACCATATCCACTGAAGGTGGTATTCGACCCCCCTGGCACCCACCCCAACCACCGAACCTGGGGATGTGGTTGGAGCCCTATAGGGATATCTCACAAAAGACTTCTTCTGTCTCTGCCGCTCGGATCGCGCCCCTCTGCGCCCCCCGGCGTTGTCGTGGGAGCTTCTCCGAGATGACACGGCGGAGGGGCCCTGCCGTCCGACGTGACGAAGTCCGGTCCGATCCGATCCGAAAGCGTCGGACGAGGTGTTCACTGGACTGCTCGGCAGAGACGCCAATGGAGCCCTGAGGGGTGGGGTATCCAAGTTCGATAGAGTCATCCCTAGGGCTCCAACCACATACATCCCGAGGTGAAGGTGGTTGGGGTGGGTCGGTGCCAGGGGGGTCGAATACCATCGAACCTGAAAATATAAACCACCCTGATTCGCTCTCGTCGCACCGGTTTAAAACTTTCGCTAAGGCTGGCTACTACCTCGACTTGGTGCTTTCATCCATTGTGCAACTTCTACGCAGTCACTTGCTGAAGTCGAAGTCGTTTTCAATATGCATTCCGGTATTCCCCATGTTTCAACAACCTCTATCACCGGATTAACTTCTTCATTTCAGGTTGGAGTATGTTGGAGTGGGACTACTTCAAACTGAGTCAACATCATCAACATAGCACGTAGCCTTACTCTTCAAAAAGTGGACAGGATCTCACCCAGATCCGTCCAACTAGAGAAACCCAGGCCACCCATCCTTCTCAACCCGCTTCTAAACCCGGGCGCCTCAGACCCCTCAGCCTCAGCAGGAAAAAGGGGATAAAGAAGACCAGCTACCTAGCACTTCCAATGGGAGACCAAACCTATGTGCATAGGGTACTAGTAGGGTAGTCCAGCCAGGACACCCAAACAGGATGGTCCTGGTATGATAAGCTATGAGGCTATGATTAGTTTCAATCTATAGAACGAGAGTCCAGGAAAGACCATGTTTAAAATGGTCGGAGAAGAACCACGGCGCGGTCCTCGAACGGGACTTCCGAGGGTGATCGAACGGGTGGCACCCGTAAGCAAGTGAAAAAGTCCTTGGACTTCTACAGGATGCAAGTGAATTGAACTTAGATGGCAACGACAAGGCCCAAACCATCCTGTCAGTGTCTGGGTGTTATATCATGCACTTGTCCCGGCGGTAAGCCTCATCAGAACGGTTGACCAGTCAGAGTCCAGTCGAGCGGATTGAAATCGAAAAACAACAGCGGTGAGCCCTGAATCTAAACCAGTGGATCCCAGTTACCACCATATAAGGAACCAGGGATTCTAAGTCTATGGTTTTAGTCTTTGGAACCGGTTACCAGCTATAGTGGTAACTGGATCTCCAGGGTAAGGGTGGTACTAGATATCGTTTTTGGACTTCTAGCGCCATCCCAAGTGAAGACAGAAACATGCAAACCCATTTTGGAGTAAAACAAACGCAAATATACCAGGACCATCCAAGGGGTGCCCAATGGAAGCCTATAGGTAGTGTGGGGTAGTCCATTGGACACCCCTTCAAGGGTCCAGGTACTAACAAACACTCGGTCTCTTTTTTTTCCTAACGCCTCTAGAAACGTGGCCTTTGGTTTCGCCGATCCACCCAGCCTCCGCGTCTCGGCGACCGGTTTTTCGTCACGTCGACCGGTCTCAGCCCTTGGCCGCGCCCAAGGGGTTCAGGAGGGTCTTGGGCCGCTGGTTGCTCCTGTGCAGACGCAAACGCAGAGTCGGACAAGGAATTGGCTGGGGACCCGGATTTTAGGCCCATTGGATTCAAGCAAGCAGGAAGGAAACTCCACCTAATTGGGGGTAAAGCAATGTCAATGGTCAGGGTGTCAGACGGTACGTTCCCAGAGCTGGGCCCACTGCAGCAACGGAAAACCAAATCCCTAGCCTTTCAAGAATTTAAGACCATAAAAAGGAAGGTTGAGTTGGTCGTAGTCCAGACTATTAATTATTACAACTATTATGGTACAACAATGGTTGTTTGGGAAACCATTATGAAAGCCTAGGGAAATGGAGATGGAACTCTTCGCAGCTATTATTCGTTCAACAATCTCTTGCTGATCACAGCCAGGTTACTGTTGCATAGTATCTTTTGCTCGGAAGAGGCTTTGCATGGCTTTGCCTTCAACATTGCAACACCAGGGCAAAACGACACATAAGAATTCACCTGCATGGCGCAACATGGCATTCACCGAAAGCAAGACCCAACCCTCATGGTGATCCCCAGTCGACCGCGCGGAACCGAACGTCCCGGATCCGTCCGACCGTCGGTCTGTCCGGCCACGCCTGCTCGGCGGAGCGACACCTCGGACGGACGCGACGGTCGGCGCCTTCGGAGCCCCCCTGGACGCACCCAGACCCCTAAGCACTGAAGCGTAGCCTCCTTGGAGGTAGGTCAGGAGCGGTGTGGGGAAAGCCAAAAAGTCCTGGAAAGACCCAGGAAAGGTCATCCCAGAGGACCCCAGTTACCCACTGTTTTTTTGGAACCAGGACTTCCGGGTCGGTCTGTGGGTTTGCTCTTTGGAACCACTGGTTATACTAGCTATAAATCCCAAACACGACTTGTCTGGGACTGGCATATGAATCCATAGATTGGGGTGGTTGAAGTCGGGGTCAATGTAGGCCGGCATGCCATACATGGAGTGTTTGGGAATGGTAAGTGGATTTTTAGGTCATGATTCCGTAGATGAGATGTGCAGCTGACTCCAGGTGGCGCAGGAGATGATTATTCCATCATACAATGACCGACTAGGTCTTGATATGGCCTGGACAATGTTAGTTAAAAAGGAACAGGAATGCATACTTGAATGTAATATATATATATATATATAATGAATATATTATATATACACACCGAATACTACACAGTATATTAACATCAGGTAGTTACCCGATGTTACTAGATTGTCTCATTTCTTTTTCTGATTTCTTAATCGTTTTCTTTATTCTTTAGTTTTGTTCATATTTCTTCCTCTTCAAACGCTTTAGATGTTTCCTTCCACTCTTCTTTCAATATTGGGGCTTAGGGGAAGGACGGTGTTACTAGTGCCAGGCGTCCGTGTTTCCTCTCTGAGTCCTCTGGGTCCATCATGAACACGCCGCCCGATGTGACGGAGCTCCTCGGTCACGGTCTGGCGCTCGGTCCACGGTCTCAGTGCTGGACTGGCGAGGGGAGCCGAGCTCGTCATCCACTTGCCGTTCTGAGCCTGGCATAAGACATACCAGACCTCTGTGGAGACCCGAACAGGTGGTTTCTGGACACTTAGTTGCGACCAGGAAACACCCTGTGAAGTCGGGGTGCTGGTGCTGGATGAAGCATCCAATGGACGAGATCGGGGATTGCCGCCATGACAGCCATTGGGGTGTCCGGATCTGATGAGAATTCCAACCACTTCGGCGTCTCGGAGTTGGAGCGCATGACAGCGACAACCATGGAGCGCATACACCGACCGCGTGCCCGGTGGACCGGTGGCCCCGAAAAGCGACATGTGTCCCCGACCGCAGCCCTCGTTTGGTCACCATTCAAAAAGTAGTTGGCCACATCCATACCGAACCCTCAAACACTCAACGTTGAGCGTTCCCTGCGTTTCCAAGGACTCGGATTTAAAAAACGGTGGTTCCGTCTCTGTTTGGTGCCAAGGCTATCCAATCCCAAAGGCTCTATGTATGGCGTATGCCTACATTTCACGGTTTTGGGTGGTACATGTCGGCCGCATCGTTTGGGAATGGTGGCGGGACCTCCGAGTTCTTCCACATGGTTCCACCATGGTTCCAGTGCCTTGAGGGTGAAGCCACTTCGTTTCGTGGGCCCACGATTCCGGTGGCCCATTGTTGTTTCGGTCTGAATCCGTCAAACCGAGCTGTTTGATGGATCTGAGGACGATAAACACAAAACCATGACTCAACTCACCCCTCTTTTTTATGGTATTTTATGGTTAAACGGTCTTGGCGTAGCTGGGGGTTCAGATTCCTAGCCCAGCATGGAAGAACCCATGGCTTTACTATGCTTTACTATGCTTTACTCAATAACCACAAAACCAGAAGGCTGTCCCCATTTTTTCGACCTGGTCTTTCTCGGACAACGGCACGCATCTGGGGCTGATCCGGCCTTTGCCTTCGCCTGCGAGACAAGCGTCCAAGAGAGGTGAACCATGTTTAAATTAGACTGCTTTTTGAATGGACCATTTTCAAATCCCCGCTTCTTAATTTTAAACCCATGTTGATTAACTTGAGGAACGACCACGTTCAATTTTCAATGGCCTGACGAATTCGGTTATCCGAGTCGTTTCCGGAGTGTCCCGAACACTAAACGGTGTTGCCCAAAATGGTCGAACTGTATTTCTAGGAGGGTACTTAAAGGATCTTAAAAGGTCTTCAAAAGAAGTATGATGAAGAACAACACATCCCAAATGAACATACCAATCATAGTGCCCTTGCACCGTCAATTGATTGTTCCTCCTGCAAAACACCACGATTACACATTTCAAGGACCCACACACATGATATTGCCATACATTGCCTGCGCTTGGGGCTTCAAGAAGGCCCTGAACACCCCTCGTTCACCGCACCAATGGGTGATTCATCCGACCCTCCCCATTCCCCCCAACCGCCCAAGCGGATTGGGAGACCCAGCGACGGACTGCGCCGGTCGACCGGCCTTGCCGTCTTTGGAGCTCCCCGGCCTTTCCTCACCGAACTCGGAGGCCGGAGGCGGATGCAAGACAGCGAGAAGAAGCGGGATGCGGGATGGCGGTGGACCGGAGAAAATGCCCCAACTTATAGGAGTCTTTCTTCTCCATGTAGCACCTTCCGTTCGGGGTCAGGCGGCTGGAAATCCCTGTACTTCTCTCCAGCCTGGACACCCCGACAGGAAGGTTTAGGTATATGTTATGGTATGTTCGAACATATGCCTAGACCTGAACCTTCAAGGGATGTCCAAATTAAGTAGTGGGCTGGGGATTCCAGCCAGGTGACCCCTTTGAAGGTGCTGGTACATTGACCCCTTTCAACCATCCCAACTAATCGGCAAATATGCCATGTCCATGTAACCAATGTACATGATCACATCTCTACATATACCATACCCTAAGGATCCTTGGACCCGACTTCTTCGCAGGGGTATAACAGGGGTTTGTACCCTCAGAACCTTGTTTTTGAAGGTCCGGATCCTTAAGATACTACGACGTAGTACGTTACTACCCCTAAGGGTCCAGGACCATTCTGAGGATGGTCTTTGCCCCTTCAAGACCATTCTCTGGAAGTAACTCACCTCCCAGACCATCCTCAAAGGGTACCTGGACCCTATGGGTACATGGAGTGTCTGGACTTGAGAATTCGAAGATTGACATGAACCTCTGGCTACCAGGTGCACAAAAACGCACAGTTGTGGCTGGGTTTTGGGATACAACAGTCCTCAGACACTCCATACATACGGAATATATAGCAATTTATATATTGTATGCCTACATTGGCTCCTGAAACCACCCCAATGTATGCAAACATGCCCATGGACCATGGAGTGTCTGGGGTTGTGGCCGGCAGAAAGCATGTTCGTTGTGGCCACCGGTGGTTGTCGTAAGAGGTCACACAGGTGTTGCGGGGGCTGCCATACTCCTTGGACGTCCATTGAAGTGTTCAGGAAATTCCTCGGCTCGGGTCGCACTTCAGACCATTTCAACCAGGACCTTCCATGGTTTCACTCCGACATGGAAGGTCCTGGAATTCAATGGTCTTTCCTGGACTTCCAGGGATAGTCGTTCGATCTCCTTCGGCCAAACCCGGGCTTTCCATCGAACCGGGCGAACTCGGCCAAACCCGGCCTCCTCAGGTTCTGGTAGCTCCACCGGTAACTGCGGCAACGCCTGGGCGCTCGCTTTATGCGAAGGATGCCGCGAATCGCTCCAAAGGGCAAATCATTCCCAGACATATTCAATAAAACTGCCATATTTGCCGGACCATTGGGGGTCAATGTATACATTCCAGTCCCATTATAGTCGTGTCTGGGATTTGTGTTTTTTCTGCGGACGACCTGGTCACAATGGAACAAAAGAGAAGAAGACTGCTCAACAGAGATGCTACGATCTATGGTGGTTGAGACCGTGATGCCAAAGACCGTTAGCAAAAACGGTTGATCTGGCATTGTAGTCTAAAACCCTCGATATAGCAAAACGTTGGTTGTTTGGTAAAGACATGGTAAAGACCATTGAAACAATGGCTGTGAATCCCAGGGCATTCTAGTTTTGTTATATACTGCTAAGCCAGCCGCTATGCTGTTATCAATATTATTCCTTACCAGGACCATCCAGGACCATCCTGTTTGGGTGTCCTGACTGGACTTCCCTGCACTACTTGGGGATCTCCAGCCAGGACACCCATGTCTGGGATGGTCCAGGTATACTAATGTATACGGTGTATATCGGATTATATCGGTGTATGATATTTCTTTCCCCACACAGTGACTGTTTCACTACCAAACCCCCCCCATGCGGCCGCGTCAACGGTCCTCCGGCGACGTGACCCGTCCGTCCTCCGCGTGACCCGTCCGCACGGCCTCCAGCGCTCCGGCACAAAGGACCTGGCGACGGAGGAGTGGGAGATGGTTGAGGGTGAGCCCTGCAGTCGTATAGACCATGTGAACGCACAGGGCTCATGATGGCATGTTCCAAAGGAGGGTCACTCATGTGACCGACTTCCATTTCAGGTCGCCGACCCGAACACCACTGAAAGTAAGCACTATAGAAAGGCACTGGGTGTGTATAAAGGTGCCAATTCACTGCCTCCGACCGCGTTGATCGATCTAACGCGTTCGTAACGGTGCAACGGTGCGACCGACCCGGTGCGACCCGACCCGACCCGACACGGCGCCTCACAGGCTTTTGGAGAGGTGCCACAGGCAGCAATAAACATCGGCAGCCGCCCGAGCTTGTCCTGGATCACTGAGATGATATGGAAGACCCACACCGAACATGAAATCATACATTTGTAGACTTATAGATTTATACATCCTTAGGGCTCCAAGTACCTGCTCAGAAGGTAGGCATTGCTATGTATACATTTGGAGGGTCCAAGTACCTTCTGAGAAGGTACTTGGAGCCCCTGGGCATATAGTATTGAGGTTGCAGAACATCATATTATTGTGATCAAGAGTCCTTCTGAAGAGCCACGTTGTAGTTGAAATCAGCACACACAATCAAAAATGTGGGTGCTCTAGATTCCAAACGCTGCATGTTTCATCTCGGGGGATGCTTCGCGGAGAATTTCTCCAACTACTCGAGAGCATCAATCGGTCAAACGGCACGTTAAGAGTACAAAAACGGCGGGTCCTGGGTGCTAGGGTTACCACCATAGTGAAGGAGCACCTGGATTCTGCGATGCGGGCCGCTTCTCAGTGGATGACTTTTTTGAGTTGAAGAAGATACTGAATAAAGATGAATAAAGAGCCACGAGAGAAGTTCTATATGTTCACATGTTCTGAAGGGCTGTGAATAGAACATGAATCCACTTCATTCGGCGCTTGTTTAGTGGAATGTCCGTTGGATCCACACTGATCGAACCGGAGTTTTCCATTTCATCAGCAGCTGAAACCGGATGGGTCGCCGATGGTTGCATCCACATGTTGGCCGGGTCAACGGGGTTCAACTGGATCCGGATGGATCCGGTGAATCCAGGACTCTCCGATGGATGGGTTGATGGACCTTCAGTTCAAGTTCGCAGCTTTGAGACTTCGCCCAAACAGTTCGACCCGTCATACCTCGCAGTTCAGGCGTTTGACCTGGTTTTTGGTCGTCTGAAATTCCGTCAAACATCTCCCTTCATATCCCTTACCCTAAGAATCCTTGGGCCCGAACCAATGGAAAGGATCTTGAGGCCAACTCGCTGTCGGGTCCGACCCCTGCGACTATAGACAATCCGTTCGGATTCTAGCATGTAATATCGAGTAATATCCCCATATTCTCAAAGCCCAAAGGCTCATTGGACCCTCATAGCATCTCATAGCGGGCTTTGACCCTCACAAACTGGTTTTGGACCGAACCAACACGTAGCAGTTGCTTCGGGGCCGAACAGGTCGCGAACCTGGCAGGTGACTTTGCAAACCTGGCGAACAGCGTCAGTTGATCACGTCTGGGGTCGGACGTCGTTGGTCAGAACCTGACGAAAGATGCCGAGTTTCATGACCCATCCATGTCCATAGTGCCTCACGTAGGTGGCACCTTGTACCTAACGTAGGTCTCCAATAGACTACCATGCACGTGCATGAGGGATCTCCATGTTTCGCGACCCCTTGAAGTTCCAGTTCCGGTGACTCTGCGTGTCCAATGGTCGTTGCTCCAACTGGGTCTCCGGTCCACCATGGCTTTGGTGCCTCGGAGCGTGGCACCCCACACAGCGGTGGTACGAGTAGAAGCGGGGGGGTCCAACAGATCTTGGGAACAGCTCCCTTCGATCCTTTTCATCTCCTCGGAGTCCATTTCAGGAGTTCTCTTGCGTGAATTGGTCTGATCCAGTCAGTCTAGTCTTGTACAGAAGGCGGTTTTCCTGAACTTGTGGCCAAAAGGTTCACCGGATTGGATGTGTCAGAATGCCAACCGAACACAATCTATCAGAACGTTTCAAACGTCTTCAGCTAGTCATGTTGCACGGAGTTTGGAGAGAAGGACGACGACATTTGGAAGTCCACAACTGTGGGCCGCACTACCAAAGAGAGCTGCACAGTGCAGTGGTGTATGGCCTTCAATGCTCTTCTCCTGCGGCTGACAATCCTCATTCAGAGAACAATAACAACCACCCTGATAACTCACAAAATATAACAAAATAACAGGAACCTTTCTGGGTGGCAAATAGGTTTGAAAACAACATAATATTATGTAATATGTAACATGTATGTATATTTAAATATATATGAACCTTTTGGTTGTTCAGTTGTTGAGAACTTCTTGGCAAAGCAATTCTTGGCTTTCGGAAGCCGCCACATCTTACATCCAACGTCCACCGTATTGCACCTCCACATCTGCCTTGGCGGCCAGTAGAAGCCTGATCAGATCGCACGTCCCAAGTCAGAGCATCGACTCACAAAAAGGCAGATAACACAAAATCACTGTACCTCAGTGTATAACACTCCATCAACTGTTACTCCATCAACTGTAAGGCAGATAATGTTATTATTATAACACTCCATCAACTTTGTATATTATATTACAACAGTATAATAGATATCCAACATGGAAAGAAGGCTATTCAGGCTATACCCTAAGCCTAAGTCCACAAACAACAGTTTGCTTTAATATCATCGGTGATATCCAGTGTGATCCTCCCAGTGTCCTCACCCAAACGCTTCATTTGCAGCCCCACCCGGTCCCACCCGTTCTCTAGGTCTTCGAGACCCCAGACATGAGGGTCTGATCCCTCCATATGAGGGTCCATGGCTTTCATAGTCTTTACCAAAGAACTCATATCTGGACCCTCCAAGGGGTGTCCAATGGACTACCCCACACTACCTATAGGCTTCCATTGGGCACCCCTTGGAGGGTCCTGGTATTTTTAATATGATGTAATCGTCTTTGAAGGCTCGGGCATACATACGCCCCTGTCCGCGGGGACCAATGGGGCTCCCTCCCCCTTTCATCGCAACAACATTGCTCGCGTAAACATTGCGTCTTGTTCTGCCGCGCAACTGCAAAGCGATGTGATGATCACAGCGGACAGAAAGGTGCACGGCTGAATCGCCCTCCCAGCTCTTCTGGTGAAGCTCTGCCTTACCGGGAGGACAGCATCGGCCAGTCGACAGGCGTGCGCATGTCTGCTCAAACATGGTGCAAACATGGCCGCAAAAAGGGGAACATTGCATGTGCTTGTCTGCTTCTGGACGATTGACTTGTCTGCTTGTCTTAACTGGTGTTTTCTGGGCGACCTCGACGACTCGATTCTGACCAGACCACGTTTCTCGATGTTCCAATCCTGACCGAACCGAGGCTGCATGTTTCCTACACCTTTCTCGATCTGGCGTCTGTCTAAGAACTGGCGGTCGGAATATGTTGGAATGCATTCCTCACTCGAAGTTGCTATGTTCCTATTGAGCAATACACAAAAACATACAAAAAACACAGGGGGATTTCTCAAACGGTCGACCTAAGTGATCTGAAAAGGACTTTCCGTGATGCCTGGAACGGTTTGGCATCATGCGCGGCATCATGCGCTGCAGTTTCTTTTCTGCCACAGTGACCCAGGGTGCTAAAGCGGTTCTAAGTGGATCCGAGAATCGGACTGAAGAGGGTGTACCTCTCACCTGTCGGTCTCACATCGATAGCAGCGGAAGCTTTTCACGCCCAAAGGGTCGATGACTGGGCCAAAGGGTCTTCTTTGACATGTGTCGCGGTCCGGTTGCAAACACCACATGTCCAAACCAGAGGACTCTTGCCAGGAGTCCAAGAGTCACATGGAGTTGGGTGGTTTTGGCTGGTCCCATCCAGGGCTCGTGGATGTGACAGGGACACCCCGACTTCCTCCGGTTCGTTAGAAAGGACATGTGACTCCTGGTGGAAGTCTTGGCATCACTGTCTTTTAGGGTACTGAGAATACAGGCAAATACGTGGCCTTGCAGTCGAAACAGGATTCGAACACCCGACCTGTAACCCGTGTCGTCGTTTTTTTTTGCTGCGACGGTCGCAGTTGTGCCTTGAAGTGATGGAGAACAGCGATGGTCTCAGCCTCAACAACGTCATGTCGTGGTCGAGTTATTGTCTGTTGGACCCTCCATAGCAGGGCTCGAACCCTCTGTGACAGGGGTTTGTACCCTCAAACAGCTTGTTATTGAGGGTCCGGATCCTTAGGGTTGTGATCAGTTAAGCTGTTTAATAACCAATCCAAGCAAAACACACCTGGATCTTCAGTTCGTGGCCGTCCTTGATCCAGCTTCGGTCGTCCCGTGGCCGCCTTTAAGGTAAGGCCTGGAACCAGGTCGTTCGGACTCGGTTCAGTGACCGGTTGGGATCGGACTCCCTCAGTTTCCCTGGAAAGTCAGACAAGTTCAAGCTCTGACTCCAGAAAACCTCTAGGAACCCAGTCTGGTCCTAGTCTGGTGCCAGTCTGGTCCTAGCATGGATCTTCTCTTGACTCCCTCAAGTTTCAAACCATGGATCTCAGCTGTTCTATCTCTCGATCGTCTCGACGCATCACGTGACCTGGTACTCTCTAGAGTCCGACGGTAGAAGGTGGCAAGAAACGAATTAGAAGTCACACCAACGCACATTGAAAACGAAGAACTTTGTCTATCTGTTCATATTTCGGGGGGGGACACCCCAATCCCCCCAAAAATGGTTAAAGATGGGAATTAAAGGTGATCCACGTACTTCCTGGGTAGGGGAGAACTTGTTTGTGCCAACACCTGCCCCAAACCTTGTCACTTTGGACCTCAGTCCGTGGAACATTTTTCGTCGCGAAGGCGGAAAACGCACGCTGCTGGCAAAAACAAACGGATAAAAAGCACTCCGACGAACACATGGAGCTGGATGGCACCCCCTGTTCGTAAAGGCAAGTAGTCTTCCAAATCTTCCATTAAGGGACCATGTTCTACTCAACACCTGGGTCTTTGCTTTGGCCTCCACTCCAACCCCCATCATCCATCGCTCCACATGGGGACGAAGGACCTTCCAACTGAGCCCAAAAAGGATCCAAAGGCATCTTGTAAAAAAGAGTAGGTCAGATGTGAGGCATACTTCTTCCCAAGATCATGGAAGATGTTTAGCATTTTCCTTCATGGAAGTTCACATCCCGCTTCTCATCCCACGCCACAAATCCGGTCCAAATGGACGCTCTCAACCTCTTCGCACCGCTCCCGGCACCGACGCCGGGGGCTCCCGGCATCGCCGGTGAGCGAGCCCCACAGCACCGCCGTCCATCCACGCGCGTCCCCTCGGGCGCGAGCGAGGAAGGCGTGAGCTAGCGAAGCGAAAACGTTTCACCTGGTCGAAAACTGGTTGAAACCTGGTCAGGATGTTGAGGAACCCACTGAAATCGTTTTTTTTTTTTGTCGGACATGTTGAAGACAGTTGAAGAGTGAGGTTGATGAGTTGATGAATCTGCGGTTGTGCAGCAAAAAACTGAGTCAACTTTTGCACGGCAACACCTTTAGAAAACCGGTGTCGCCCCCTCACCCAAGAAAAGTGGCGACCTTGAGTGTATTCCCATGTCTGCAAAAATGGGATCTCCTCTCACTAGCGCGGTGGCTTGGTGCTTTGCTTTTCTCAGTTGATGAGTGGTCAAGGACATGCTGCTCCATGTTTCCACCAGCAAGTGCTGGAGGAGATGCCGACCCGGCAACCTGGCCGAGCAGTTCCTTGGACCCCTCGCGGTGTGTCGAAATGGACCTTCTCCCTCTCAAGGGGTGTGTCGAAACCCGAACCAAAACCATTTCAATTGCTTCTGGTCAAGGACATGGCGCTGAAATGAAGGCTGTTTTCCTTTACTCACCAGGCCATCTTCCAGGTTCATTGTTGCAGGGAGGGTAGTCCGGATTCTTAGGGTGTGAGCACATACCAGCACTGCCACCAGCACCCTCCAGCACCCAACTCTACAGGTCACCACCTGCCACTTAGTCACCATGGAGATCTGGAGACCTGTAAAAGAAGAGTCGGGTGCTGGTAAAGGATCTGTAGATCTTGGAGGTTTTGGAAGGATTCATTGACAATCAATCCCTACAAGTCAATGAGTTTTACTGGAGTTGGTCACAGAAAAAACACTACTCAAGGAGGTAAAAGACCAGGTTTTACTGGGTCTTTGGACTTGTGGGGAATTATGATATTGATGCAACAAAACGATGATTATCAGGCTGTAACAAACATACCAAATCAACTCGCTGATGCTGGGAGAAATAGTTCTCAATATGAACACATGTCTTGGTTCGGAGTGTTCAATGAACTAGAATCAACCTCTCCCGTCGAACATCTACGGGCACAGGAACCACTTCTTAGCGTTGGATCCACTTCCATGTGAGGCCCATGTGGCCTTCTCTCGGAGTGTCATCCCCTTTCGATGATCAGGCTGACGGCCGTTCGGGCCAAGTGACGAAGGTTCATGTCGGCTTTGTGTAGACCCAGCAATCGGACCTCGTGAGCGGGTCAAGAGGAGCGTTCGCAGCGTTGACAGAGTTCCCCGTCCGGATCGGTTGAACCCCCCTGAAGAGGTATGTTCCGTCTTCATAAACCACCCGTCGTCGTGTCTGGGGTGGTGCTGGTATATGGAGATCTTCACGGTTTTACTTTATGGCTTTGCCGCTTTGAAATATCTAAGCTAGAGATAGCCGCGTTGCCGCTTCTGTATCCATCATCGCTAGGCCCTCCATGGTAAGGTCGAACCTTCCAATCCCCAAAGGTTTATACAATGTTTATACCCTCATATATACTGTATACATATATATATATATATATCATATACCCTCCAAACCCTTGGTTCGGAGGTGGAAGTACCGGACTTTCATCCTCACAGCCCACCGTGTCCCTTGGTCTCCGAGGTGCCAAGTCGGCATTCCCATGGCGTGCCGCCCACATAGTGGCCGTCCTGATGGTGACGAGGTGGCGAGGCTTCTCTCGTGAGTGACGGCTCTGGACTGAGGACTTGGACCATCCGGTTCGTAGCATCCGGATCGCTCCGAATTAGTAGTACGGCCAGGAGAACCCGTTCGTAGAGTGCTGTTGGGCCACTTGGGTGTGTATTTTCATGGGCAAACATTTCTGCCCCAAGGCGATTTTGTTCTGGTCGATGTCCCGAAGCTGGAAAGGGGGCTCGGGTTTCGCCGTTCAGTGTCGGATTTGAGCTACACACCCAAAGCAGTTCACACAACCCCCCCAAACAACTCCACCAAAAACCTGGTCAAAGAACCAGTCTCCAAGGCCATCCGGCCGTTTTTTTGTAACAAAGGTACCGCGACATGGAACCCATCGACACACGTTTGCTGCAAAATCAGATTGAGTCCCAAACACTCCAGTGGCCTGTTTATGCCTGCGTCTGCATACCATTGGATTGATTTCAGGGGGCAATGTAGAAGCATACCCAAAGACTCCATGTACTATGCCGATCAGGCCAGGGTTGGTGCCAGGGGGGTCAATGTAGGTAAATATGCCATACATGAAGTGTCTGTATGATATACTCCAGTCCCATTCGTCGTGTCTGGGAGTAGAATTGAGAGCGCGACATATTGCGCCCAGCGCCTTCTCCCATGGGCCTTGACATCGAGCAGCGCGAAAGGTTCAAATCGTGAGTTGTTCCCTTTGCATCCCTTTGCCGTGGAGGGATCTCTGGTGGCAAAAACAGTTCAAAGTTTTATATGGCTATACATCAACTACAGTATAAGTTAGAAAGTATTATATGCATGTGTATCATCTATATATATAATCGACTGTAACAGTTCATGCAATTCTAGTTTTAGCCCTGTAACAGGAAGATTCTCCAAGCACTTTTGTTCCAAAAAAGTGATTCTGCTCAACCCTCCATCTCGGATCTCCCAATTGGTTTCAAAGCTTCGATAGCACTTCAATGTCCAATGGTGATGATTAAAACATCTCATAAGATGAGCTCTGTGACATCTATAATACACCAGCAGTTGCATCGTTCTTCGTGCATGGTCCGAGACTGTTTGTTGCTCTCACAGCTTGTTTGGTTTCGGTCGGTTGCTCTACTCTGAAACCACTGTAGGCATCCGGCACACCCCGTACCCATTTCATCCACCACCGCGGTCCGGCCGAGGTCTGCCCGGGTCTTCCGCACTCGGCACCGCAGCGCACCGCCTCTTCGGCGCCCGCCAGGATCTCGTCCTCGGCGAGCCGGGAGCGTCCGCCGTCCGGGACGACCTGCGTCCGGACGGTGGTAGATCGGTTGGTCGGTAGATCGTGGGGATGACCTGTTGACAGGACGACCTGTTGAATCCAAACAGAAAACGGATGTTTAACGGTCGGACATGCTGTGGACGACCATTCCAAATTAAAGCCCCTCCGCCCATTCCGGTCGGCTTTGATCTCCTAGCAGTCTTTGTCCAGTCTGTTCATTTTCGTTGGTCAAGCAATGTTTCCCAGGTTTGATCCATGGCCATATATATCATGCATATATATATATATAGTTGTTTTTGACGAACGTGGACATATTCAGTGTTTTTCCCATCGACAGTGGGTACTCGTGGGTTTTGAAAAAGCGTAGTATATGCATGCCTAAGTCGGCCCATAGATAAAACCACACTAATTTTCGTTGAGAACCACCATGAGTAATTTACTTGCGCTGCTCTTACAATGATCGTCTCTGATTAGGATTAAATTGTGGCAATCACCAAATACAAACATGACCAATTGACTTTCTGAAGTTCCAAAGGGGTGATGGTTCCTTGTGGCCAAAAAATACCATTCCTTTGAAGCTGCTTGGTTCCTTTCTCTGCAGTGGATGGCATGGATGGTAGGACGCACACTCCAATGTCTTTCCCCCGTGCCCGTCGTTCTCCTGGCGATCAGCCACTGAGATGCGGCCTTTCTCGGCGAACTTGACGGGAGACAACACGAGAACTCGGCGTTCGAGTTTGCAGGGCTCTTCCGGCAGAACAACCACCAGGTGCCTTTCCAGTGGGTTCTGGAGGTGTTTGTTGGGCCCTAACAGGTCTCAATTGGTGAGTGACCTCTTGGAGGATACTTGTACATATATGTATCATACAATATGCCAATCTAAGTAAGCAATTTTCCTTTGAGCGATCCTTGCCATGGCATTTGACTCTGATCACCGACGGCTATATTGCTTCATCACAAAGAAAGCGTCTATCTTGCATATATACTTGCACACGGCCCGTCATTCACCCCCTGCTTGGGAAGCACACGGCCGGTGGGGGGTTCCAAGGTGCTGAAAGTGCGGCCCCCATGGCAGGCAGAGACCTGGCCCTCGATCTTCGCAAGGGTCTGAGGGCCTGGATTCTTAGGGTATATACAGTGTAATATACAGGTTAGACCAGCACCCCCAATCAAGGGGTGGTGAGTGGACACCCCGAATCACAGCGTTACGGGGCTATAAATAGACACCCCGACAGGAGGGTCCTGGAACAAATGTAAACCCAAAAGAATAAGTCCAGTTCGCTAGACTCGGGTCACCTTACTTCCAGGGTATACATCATCGATCAACCTGATTACTGCAATTGGTTCATAGAAGTACGGTACCTAAGGATCCGGACCCTCAACAAGCTGTTTGAGGAACCCCTGTTACAAAGGGTTCGACCCCAACGGAGGGTCCAAGGATCCTTAGGGTAGTTGGGTTAAAGGCCATTACATCAGTAGGCCACGAACCCTAGGGCACACCGACCTCCTTCGATCACCACAGCAACGCAGCTGCGCCTTTCGATCGGGGTGCGAGTCCTCCTCCTCCACCATCGTGGCCCTGACGGATTCTTAATGATGAGGTTGATTGCCCCTGGCCCACCAATATTGAATATTGTTTTAAGGAACCGAAGCACCTTAAAGCTGCTTTACTAAGGATTTGACAACCAGCTGTAAAAGGATTGAACGGAAGGCAGTTGGATGGCGTTTGGCTCTGCTTGGTGCCTTTCTCGAAACGGGTACCCCAGCCGAACTCTTTCGATGCCTTTCAAAAGGGGATCCATCACCCGACAAAGGCTCCGTGGTAACTCCTTTTCGGATTGTTGAAGGTGAGTAGGTACTTCACCGTTTGGGTTCCAACCATATCCTCAGAAGCTGGTTATTAGACCGCCACCAACCACCCAACCACCCCTTTTTTGGAGCCCTAGGGTTCCAAAACTACTGGACCATTCAGCGCTCCACGCCTGCTTGGCATTGGGACCTCACCGGACGCTTCGCCGGCGAAGTGTCCCGTCCGAGGGACGTCGAAGCTTCTTCGGAGTGCCCTGAGAAGATTGATCCCCTATAGGATTCCAAAGACCCGAAGGACTTCAATCGCCTTGACCGAAGAACCATCATATTGAATAGTGCCTTTGTTAGGATTTTACAGGACAACACCAGGTCATTCGCATTCTTCTAAAATGCTCCAACTGAAGATCTTCTCGGCTTGATCTCGGACCCGCTAAGAGGCGGTTTGCCAGCATGCGGATACGCTTCTACACAGCTGTCTGTTCTCACTCCCGAGCCGTTTGGCTGGAAAATACATTATATAATAGGTTAACCTTTCTACCCTGGTTGGTGTTTTCAACCCACTTGACAAATATGAGTCAGAGGCAATCATCCCCAAGTAAGGGTTGAACATAAAAACATCTGAAACCATCACCTAGTACCTGTTCTTTAGTGGGTACACCAATTCCAAAAAAAGAGTTAAAGGCTATCCACTGACCCGGTAGGTTTTGACTCTTTTGATAGGGTCCTGTCCCCTATTTGGTGGAGACACAAGCTACAAGATTTAGCCCCAAACGCCTATATATAGATACATAGTACATATAGATATGTACTATATAATATATATATATATGACATATATATATATATTTATGTAGTCTCGTTTTGGCCTGTAACAAAACGGTGGGAGGTTTATCCTTTCGGTCTCTTCATTCACCCCTGGTGCGGTGCCCCCACTGGTGGGCTCCCCGACAAGCTCCTTGCTCCAAGGCTTCTTGAGCATCTGTGAAGTTGGAGGCCTTGCGAGTTCGGTTGGGGAAGACCTTTTTGAGCAGAATTCAACGGGTGGGTGGGTGAGGTGGGTGCAGGTCTCCCAGTGCCCAAAAACGACCCAAAGCACGAGGTGACGGCCAGCCTGGGAGGTTGCCCTAAGAATCCGAGTCCGGGCTTGACCTCTTGGCAGGGACCTTCTCCACCGAAACGGTTCCGGGGACCGGGCGGATGGAAACCGTCCCAACCGACCGAGCGCGAATATGGTGAAGAAAGCGCGACCGGTCGGCTTGACTTGAACCATGATCAACGAGAAAGACTCCACCAGCACCCCCGGCCCCAGTCGGGGTGGTGAGTGGACACCCCGAATCACAGCGTTACGGGGCTATAAATAGACACCCCGACAGGAGGGTCCTGGCACAGGACAGGTCGTCTTTTAATTGGTTCTAGATGTACATGACTGTCTTTTTTGTTTGGGTGGTGAATGTAGGGCGACGCCACCATGGAGTGTCTGGGGATGATGAACCCAACATAACCCAACCATGATATATGTATATATATATACACCATTATACACCTAGAAACCCAGACATGACCTCTGTTTTGATAGGACAAGACAATCTTTTGGGTGGTTTGTGGTCCAAAATAGAGGTCATTCTATAAAGATAGATGTTCACACGATGCGATCAGGTTCGCCACCAGGTTTCTTCCACTCACACCCCGCGAGACGCGCCTGTGCTGCATCCAACAACCGCGTGTTCGCACCCAAGACAGAGGCCAAACGTGCACCTGGTTGCAGCAACAGAGGACATTCCCATTCAACTATTTCGGCATGTGCTATGGAAAACACACAGAACTTGACCAAGGCAGTCTTTTTCGTAGCACCCAGACCTCTCCCCCGTCCATCCGACCATCTCTCCGACCACTTTCCAACAGCATCCGACCATCTAGACCACCATCCGACCCTGGGTGTTACAGACCTCAAGTTGCCCTGGATCTGGGTCTCTAAATAAATCCAGAAATAGATCCTTGGGTGCTATTTCGGGGCTGGGGGCTCCAAGAGTGACTGGGGCGTGACTGGGGCTCCGTTGACTGGGGCGAACGAAATAGGTTAAATAGGTCCGATGACAGTCCGTCCGTCCGCTGTCACCGGCGGATCTGGGTCTCTTCTCGCTTCCGGAGAGTTGCGGGTGGCTGTTGACAGCTCGGGAGTCTATAGAATTCCATGTTGGGCGTGACTGGGTGCAGCGGTTGGGAGTCGGACGGGAATCTTGGATTACACACCTCTTTCACCAACCCCTCCTCCCCAATAGAATCCTGACAAACAGTAATACCCTTGGTCAACCACTTCTCCCTCACCAGGTAGATTCAAGAGTGAAAAAGTGGGTGATCATTCCAAAGAGCTTGCGTTCTCACATTCGAACCTCGACAGTTCGCCGTTTTCGCAGGTCCGCCATACCCCCCATACCCCCCAGGTCGGTCCGCCCCCCCCAAGGTGAGAGTTGCCCTCTGCCAAGCCACCAACTTGCCGCCCTCTTCGAGACAACTGCTGTCCGAGCTCAGAGTTCTCTCCTGAAATCTTCAAACCGAGCAACGCTGCACGCTGCGTGCTGGCACAGTGCGTCCGTTCGTGACGGTGGTTTCGGAGAACATGCCAGAACCTGTTTCCCGGAAAGGGTCCAGGACCATCCGAATCGGATGTCCTGAAAGGCGCCCAGTTCGATCATTCTCTGGAAGTACGTACTCACCTCCGTTTGACCATCCTCGGGAGGATTCAGGGACCTGGAGCCTATTGGGAACAATGGGAACAGCCAGGAATCCCACAGCCAGTGTGACTTCCGAGTGGGGGGGTCCCGGGAATCTTCAGATCCCGGGAATCATCCCGTTCCAGCTGGCTGGAAGATGCCGTTCCGCTGCTCTTTCCCAGAAAAGGAGAGACGGTAAGACAAGATACGTGAGACCCAACATGCAAAAGAAGGGGCGTGGGATGGCGTACTCGTATGATGTGTATATCGTAAAACTGATGTAGTTTGTATCACGTAGACTCTTGATTCACAATACGCCCCCATGGCCACAAATGGAACCACTCCGACGAACACATCACATCGAAGTGGAAAATGCATGGTCCCGAAAGGAAGACGTCGTTTATATACTTTCCTTTTACGAACAGAGTGTGCCATCCACTTCCATGTGATGTGTTCGTTGGAGTGTATGTATTTTAATAGGAAGACACCAATGTGTATCATAGACTGGCCTACTGTCCTTCTTCCAGGGGATCCAACTGGGAGATCTCCCTGTTTTCATACACGCCCACATCAGAAACACTCCGTTGGAGGAACACATGGTGAGTCAGGGATAGCAAGATAGCAAGCAAACGTTCAACTAGAACAAGCCGAAGGCTCCAATTCGATCCCCTTGAAGGTGGACAAGCACATCCCTGGAAGTCTGGCGGATCTTCTTGAACACTTCGCGGTGGTCCCAACGATCGCAACACCATCGGATGGGCTTGGATGGGGGAACCGGTTCCAGACCGGTCGCGCTCCCGTCCAGACCGGTTGGGCCCGGGAACGGATTCTTCAGGTTGAACTTCTATAGGGATAATACTATAGGGATATACCGGCACCACTACCAGCATCTTCCAAGAGTCGACAATGGTTCAACCTATACTAAAGGCCTTTCCCAGACCTGTATAGAGACCTGCTTAAGGTTGAACGGACAGTCTATGTCTCATCCTTCTGCAAAAACCAAACACATCTCCAGTGGCACGGAAGTGAAGGAGGAACCATGTCGCCTCCGGATAGGCGGACCCACTGGACCGATCTGACCCGTGGCGGGCGACCCGCCTATGAGCTCCGGGTAGGCTCCGTAACCTCGGCCGAGCATTCCGCATGTTTCGCGGCTCTCGGCCGAGCCGGAACCGAAGGACATCCACCTGCGATCTATCCCTTAAGGAGTGGGGAAAGCAATCCCTAAAAATTGGTGGAAGATGATTCAAGATGGTTAAAGGATGCTACTATCAGTTATATGTTATCCACTTTTCCTGATTAGGAAGCCTGAGCAAACACCCCGATGAAAGCCACGAGCCCCTCAGCTCCAAGCGGAACCCCTCATGCGATGGCTTGGCAGAACGAGGTTCGGACGTGTGACATGTGAGCGATCGGCAAAACCTCGATGTTTGCTACGGATTAGCCCAAGTTATCGTTTTTGAATGTTTTTGGGAGAAACGAATAGAAAAAATAAACCTGCAAGGAGCCATGTCAAAAATGTAAAACACCTGCCACACTCGTGCGGCCACACTTTGAAATCTCTATCTCAGCTTCTTCACATGTGTACCTGAGCACCTACATGCAATAAGCGATCGATCTTCTCATTCGCAAAGCTTTCTCTCACAAATATCTTCACATCTGGGCCATCCATCACAGAGCGCGTTTCTCTCCAAGATGGATATCGTTTAGTTATCGTTTTGGTTATCGTTCAAAGCCTGAACACATCTTGAGAAATATATCATGGGAATTGACATGTTTGCAAATAAGAAAATTCTATAGAAAACTTGAGGAATGGTCGGGACGCAATGTGCGCATGCTATACTGTCTGTTCAACGATTCCATGCACAACTATGCTGTCAGGAAGCGCAGGTGCTGGTCCAAATGCAGTATACTTGCTATATCTTGCTATCACATCACATCACATTGTGCTATCCAATATATCGTTTTACAGGTCGAAGTGCATGTGTTCAGTCAATCTGTGCTCCCATACTACTCTGTTCGACGGAGAGTTTAGCCAGTTGCTCATGTCACATCATGTGACCTTGGTCCAGTCTGAACTCACCAACGTCGCAGCGCATCCTGACGGAACCCTGGACCCTGGACCCTCGGAAGGTGGAGAGGGTTTGGGGCCCATCTCACCGGTCCCGATCGGTTTTACCATGGTTTTGAAAGACCAAACAATCGGGCTGTTTTCACGGAGCGTCTGGGCATGTCAGTGAAATGTCTGAGCTCCATGTGCTCTAAGTTCCTACACCCAGTTCGCCAAGTCCGGATTCTGTCCCGGTTCGGGCTCCACTCCGGCCTCCTCTAAATGGTTTCTGGACCCACCTGGCACTTTTCCCCAGTCCCACCTTCTCAGAAACTACTTGGAGGTGTAGGGGCAGGGTGCGAGGGTCGCTTCACCCAGAGGTGCCAGACCGAAGTTGGATTGAGTCGATGAGTTTGACCACCAAAAAACAGGTCGCTTTTGGGAGGAGACAAGAACCCGCACACGGTTTACCTGTGGGGTGGTTTCAGGGGTTTAATGCAGGTAAATATTGGAGTGTCTGGCGAATGGAACCTGTCTTCACCCCTGCTGGCGGAGACCGTTTCGCGCGGAGCGCCGCTCCGCTCTCCTCCAGCGTTGCCGCGCGAGGAACTTCGTGCTCTGTGCATCGAAGGGGCGCACCAACACGTGGGCCATGTCCGCCGAGTTATGCAGCACCGCCCAGGTGAGCGGCGTCCAGCCGCCGGCGTCCTGGTCCGCGACTGGGTCTGGGGGAGAGTGCGGGTGAGTGAGAACATGGTGTTGGTCATTGATGGTCTCAAGATCTTTGAGCGTGCAGTACCGAGTTTAGAAGCTGTATGGGTGATGGGAAACCCAAGTAACACGTAATCTTCAGAGCGGCTTCCCACAAGCGGATCTTGTTTTTGTTTCTTTCACCTAGAAGCTTCGCTACGTTACCCATCATCCACGTGTAACGTCTTGACAGCAGGAACATCATGTGTGATCACACACGGCCAATTCTGTTATACATAATTTGTTGTCAGCTTTGCGTAATAAATATATGCGCACATGGCACATGTACGCTTTTCCCTGGGAGTCCGCAGCTTTTCTCCTTGCAGGGCTCTGATGTAAGAGTACTTTTGTCCGTTTTTGTATATGTTTCCTCAGCAGCCAAGCCTTGTAGCGAGGGAGGGCACCATGTTGGAGAAGATGTTCAACCAACTCAGCAGCGATTCGGTGCGATTCAAATGAGGGGATCCTGGGATCCTGATGGAACAAAGGTTACAATTAAACATATGTACAAAAAAAACACATAAAGACACAAAAGTTGATGAAAACTCCTTCCTGAACATCAACTGAAGTGAAATATGACCGGTACAAGTCTTCAATCAACTGAAGTTCTAGCTTCAGATGCAAAAGATTTAAAAACGAACGGACATTAACGTGCTCCGCAGGATATGCCCAGGCACTGAAAGGGAAGCTGAACAAATCCGTTCTTCTGTTGTCTTTAGGGACTCTCAGTACTCGGAGACTCTCAGTACTCAGCACCCGAGGATTCCTGGCCCACCGATTGAATGGCTTGTACCAAAGAACCATTGCTTCATTGAGGATATCTCAAACAAATGACTAGCAGGAACAGACTGAGCTCCTTTCATGGTCTCGCAATGCTGCGAGACCTGGCTGTAGGGTATATACCCTAGGGCTCCAACCATATCCTCAGAAGATGGTTAGACCCCCCAAACCCACCCCAACCATCTTCTCAGGAGGTGGTTGGAGCCCTAGGGATATATAGTCATATATATATATAGTACATAATTGTACATACCAGTTGGGCATGCCTTGAGCCATTTTTGCATGTCCCTTCCCACCAATTTGATCAATTTGGAGGTATTTGCAGATAGCCATTTTTTCCTTTGCTGGAACTGGGTGTACGTGATGTCAAATCACTTTTGATGCATCTCTCTTCTCAGTGGTGCGTGTGCGTGCAGCTAATCAGTCAAGGAAGGATCTTTCGAAACCCACCGGTTTCCTTGATCTGTCGCTGTAAGTCATTTTCAAGGAAATATCATTACCAAGAGATATACCAAACATTACCAAGTCACATGACAAATTGCTTGATTTGACATGATTTGACACCACTTTTTGAGTCGCAGAGTGTGGGTTGTACAATTACTCAGGGTACCACATGCCACATTTCAGTCACCAGAGGAGACATGTTGGAGGCCGCTCTGCTGGTATATAGTACATAATATTCAATATTCTGCACATACAATACATCATGCAATACATCTCTGTTACGATCATGCATCTTTCATGCTTTTGATCCATCACCCCAGGACCATGCTCCAAAAAAAGAAACAGTCCGAACTCCCCCCAACCGAAACAAATACTGCCACGACCACTGCAGGACTGACGCCTGCCCCGAGCCACACCAGGGGCTCCGAGCCGGAAGATCGTTCCGCTGTGCGCCATCGGCCAGGCGCTGGCACTGTTCCTGTGCCTCAGTCGCCGCGGGCGCCACCGCGGCCAACGTGGCGAGTGATTCGTGCGAGGGACGAAGAGCAGGCACTCCCTGGTGAAGAAACAGCGTTGACTGGTGAAGTGTTTGGGAACCTGGGTGAATCTGACAGAAATCTCTTTGGACGTGCATATTTGACGTGGGCGTAGAGGCGTTAAAGTGGGGGAAGAAGAACACATCAAACACATCACTCACATATATATATATAATATTGAGTAATTCACATCCAATCAGGGTCATATCCACCCTTCTTTTTCGCCAACTAGAACCTAAACCTTCACACCAAAACACCTCCGAAAAGCAACCTCCACATCCTCCACCTCCGAGCCCGAAAACTCGGGCCGCCCCCGCCAGAACCACCGCCGCGCGCATCTCCAGGTGCTCGCGGCAATGGTCGAGCGCGGCGAGGCCTGGGGCTGCGATGGGACGCAAGGACGGGCGTGGCGGGCGTGGCGGGCGTGGCAGGAGCTTTCCCAAAGCATCCATGGTCTCTGACTAAAAGAGCTGGAAATCCATCCAGGTACTTAGCTGGGTCATCGTCTTCGGTCAATAGTGGTAAAAGAGACCCCCCAGCCGGAAATCCATCCCTGGAAAATCAAGGTATAACAGAACGAACTCCACCTGTTCTTGTGAACAATGGGGTGTCACCAATTCCAACAAAAAGGTTGTACAGGTCATCCCCTGACTGGGTAGGAATCCATGGATGGAATAGCTATATGAATACCACGGACCTCTAGAAACTGAGTGACTGCTTTGGAGCCCAAAACAGTTTGTTTGCAATTCCGAACAGAATTAAAGGTCGGATTCAACCAGCACCTTCCAAACAACTTCTAAGGTGGCAGGTGGTGACCTCTTGGAGGGTCCTGGTCTGATATATATAGTTACCAGTCACATCCAGCAAGGAGTTTGAGAGACCGGGTGATCCTTTTGCGATGACCAGTCATCCTCGCCTTCAGTTTCGACCTTTAAAGGTACAAATGTAGCCCAGATAGGATCCGGGCCCTCAACAACAAGGGTTTGCTTCGGGGCCCTCAACAACACCCCTGTGATAGATCGAGGCTTCGACCGTCTTGCGTTGCGAGGGTCGGGTCGATAGGATCCTTATCACTACTATACTACCCATACACTCCATGTATGGAATATATGCTTACATTGACCCCCCTGGCACCACCCCAACTGATGGGCATATATGGCAGTCCCATCAGTCGTGGGCTAGGGAGTGTCAACTCCAAGGTTCACCGCCGTTCCCTCCGTTCCACCTTTTCTGGGGCGGAGAAAGCGGGGTTGAACGAACATCCAAGCGGAGGGGGAGGTGAACTCGTGCGGCGATGGAATTCCAGGAATCGAAGGTATGTCATATATAGTTCCTCTGAAGTGTGGGAATTTACTTACCATGTACCAGGGGCCCTCAAAACCAAACCATGAAAAACAAAGGCTTTCACATACAAAACCCATAGTTTTTTGCTAGGGAAATCCAGGTGTTTGATGGTTTGTGGGGCCCCTGATATATATATATATATATGCATGGATTGGTCTTCGGAAGCGTTAAGACTATAGAGGAAAATGCTGACGAAAGTGGTGCCCGGCAAAGGTTCCCGGCAACGGTGCATACATGTAATCTATACAACTGATGACCCTAGTGTAACTCGTTCAGTCCCACGGATGATCTGGGGACGGATAGAAATCTTTAATCTAGGCCGGTTCTGTGAGTGTACCTGTATCTGTTCCCGATTCTATGACCCATGCACCTGGTTCTTCAAAGTGACAGTCCTTGATATCCTGGTTGGTTCGGTCACTTAGGCCCGTAATAGGTCAGTTGGGGCCTCCAAAAAGGTCACTTTGAAGAAGCTGGCCACTTTGAAGAACCTGTGTGCCCTCATAGTGCAACCATCATGCACTCATGTACTAATGTATATACGATAGAATCACCAAAGTGAGCATTCGAATCCTCATACATCACAGCAATAAACGGTGCGCTCGAATTCTTTTGACCTCCAAAATGGTCATATCATTGTCATATCATTGTGCCATAGTATGATACATCTGCATCATATGTGGCCGCCCAAGTGAACACTGTCTGACTCCCTAGCCGTTTCCCTGGAAAAAAAGGGTTACTAATATACGTATATCACCTTAATATCCACGATTAATTTGGCATGGTCATGGTGGGAGTGGCTTTTTGTAGAAAACTGTCTCTAGACAATTGGACGTACCTGCATGTCCACTACAAAATGGCATGGCTGGCCCACATGTTCTCTACAAAATGCTTTTCCATAAACCCAGTTTGGAGAATGTAATGAACACCAAGCTGCTACAGAATTATGTATCAAGAGATCCTCTCTACAAAATGGATCAAGTGGATTCAAGAGGATCGTGGGAAGACCATGAAGCAAGATACTTATGTGCTCTACAAAATCATGAGTCCATCAGTTGTGGTCATTGCAGATATCAAAAGAACTATACAAAATCTCACCTACTGTACATTCACATACATTCTTGGTATCTACAAAATCCCTGGAGTCACCCTCAAATCTCTAGAACATCCTTTCCACATGCACTCAATGTATAAGCTTGCCAAGATAAAAGATTCTACAGAATGAGTTGTCAATGAGACACCCACTGATTTGTCTCTACAACATGGGGGGGTGGACTTTTTGCAGATTAAAACACCCACCTGAATTAGCTATGCCATGATACCTGATTTCGTGGAGGACATTTTGTGATACCTTAATACTAACCTCAATCCATCTGTTCATGTTTAGATATGTTTAGTGGGGTGTCCTCAAACCCAAAAGATGAATCGAACAAATGACCAGACTGTTCAAACGTCTACCGGGTCTACGTGTGGCATGTCGCACAGCCCGCTTGACGACGGGCCCGGTCCGATCCGCCTTCCTTGTCGCGATGCGTCAAATCCGGACATCGCCGGAGCAGGAGCTTTACCTGGTCGAGGCGACCGAGAAGCTCGCCGGTGGGAGCGGCTTCACCCGGTCGGTTGAAACCACACAAACCAAAACCATCCAGAACCAGCTGTATGCGACGTCCCGCGCTCGCCCCCGCGGCGTAACGGCCGCGCTCTGAGGAGCCCGACCACGCTCAGGTGCCCATGCCGCGCGGCCCACATCAGAGGGGTGCGATCTGAGCGGCGAGTTCAGTTCCCAAAGGTTTGGAACACGAACTCAATCCACTTCATTCTAAGAATAACATAAATCATTTCAGTTTTCAGTTCATTTCATCAGTTCCAACATCATGGTTTGTACAAAATACCCCCTCTCTCTCATGTGGAATGGCCCCGTAGAAAAACGCTACCAGAGTTAGAATACATCTTGATCCCGAGAAGCAAAACACTGCCCTCACTCATGACCCATGACCCTCTTTGATGCACTGTCCCAACACAAGGAATGAAGTACTCATAGTCATACCCTGCGATTCCTGGCCAACCATTGTTTCAATAATATATGTCAACGGTCCAAATCCCAAACAACCGAACCGCTTTACGATTCTAGACCACCAAATCAGGATCCGCCCAGCTCTGTTCAGGATCCAGGAAGGGTCGTTCCGCTCGCGTCGCTGTAAGGATCAGTGGAACGGCCGCCAGTTCAGTCGAACGGAGGCCGTTACACTCTGCATCTAACAGCCTCTCCGACGGTTGGAGAGGATACTGCATGTATTTGGCTGTGGCCTGCCATACCACCGAGACCCCTGGTCGTGCCCGGTGCACAGGGTTTGCCGCTTTGGACCCACGGCACGCCCTTTCTTCTCCGAGTCAATGGAGGTGGATCATGATGGATCCAAGGACGACTAGTCTATTCTCCATTGATGATAGCATGTTTCATGCCAATCCAGTTGATGATAGCATGTTTCATACAAATATCATACATTCAGGATGTCATGATGGAGAGGTTTCATACAAATACTGCAAGACTCAGGCACTTCACCACCTCCTAGGTCTTTCAGATGGATTGAACGACCGCTCTTCCTTTCACAAACCGAGCTCGTCTCCCGCCTTCCAAATCGCGATCCTCCACCTCTGCATCGGCCTGGACGGCAAAGAAGCCCAAAAAGAAGAGATCAAAAGAACAGGCCTGGACCTTCAAGGGGTGTCCAATGGAGATCCCGGATAATTCGTAGATATTCGTAGTGCAGGGGGCTTCCAGCCAGGTGACCCGGACACATGTGGCTGTGGATCAAAAACCCAAGACATGATCCACAAATGCCACATCTGTTTCACGTCGATGGTGGCGACAACCGACGGTGCAGCACGCACGACGCACGGCAGTCGCGTGACGTCGTGGCATGACCCGGCCGGCCCTAGCCTGCCTTCAGAGACCAGTTCAAAAAGACGTAAAAATCAATGACCATTTCAAACATGTCAGTCTAAAATCCTCAGCAAAACAATGGTTCTTTGATGTTCTTTGGTAAAGACCATTGAAGAAACATTATTGAAAACAACAACAATGGCTGTTGGAATTCCAGGGAATTCGGTTGCAGCATCCCAATCGAAGATATTGGTCCTGGAAAACGTGTTTTTGGGCTATTATATACTCACTTTATGGTGGTTAAAGGAACCTCCAATCTTGCACATGGGCACACACATCGGCGTGTATAGAATTTTATAGGGAGACTTTCTGGCCTTGGCTGGGTAGACTGATCTATGTCCCTTCTTTCAGAGGGTCGAACTGGGATTGGATTGGACGGAAGATGTGCCGAAGCGGAGCCCCATAGCTTGAAGGGACCACAGCTGATGTTAGACCCACTTGCACAGGTTGGTACTTCCCAAGTGATGGTTTTAGAGTTAAGATTAAAAGAACGAGCTGTTGGTGTTATAGTCCCACAAACATGTACTAGAGGCTTCCAAAAAAAGAGGCCTGTACCAAGGAACACCGAACAACCATTGGCCATTGGCCATTGGCCGATGCCGAGGTTGAGCGCGTCGCAGGACGGAACGAACCCCGTAGCTCGCGGGGCGTCCTTTTCCGGCGCAAGTCTCCCGGCATTTCCAACGAAAAGCGAAAATCCCTTTTTCGGATCTTCCGAGGTTTGCGGAGGTTCCAGGATCCAACGCCAACGAAGACCACCGGGGAATGCCTACGGCGAATTCGCCTCCCCAACGCGGCCGGAGATCGATCATCTGAACCCGGTCCCGGTTCCCGGTTCCCCCAACAAGGCTTTGGATCCTGGCCGTACTTGTCACGGCTTGTCACGTCTTTGTCACGGCTTCGCGCCGCTGCCGAAGGCTCCCGAGAGCCCAAGAAAAACCACTACGGCGGGTTGTATTACATTATACCTGGACCCTCCAAGGGGTGTCCAATGGACTACCCCACACTACCTATA